CAACAAGAACAATCGACATCTAAGCTACGCAACCAGCAATATGTGTGTGTCGAAAGTATGTCTGTGGGTGGCTGGATGGCTGGCTGACGGTTGGCTGGTTGGCTGGTTGGCTGAGTGGGTTCCACAAGAGGTTGTGTGTGGTAAGATGCGTTAGCACTTTACTTTAACAACGACGAGAGCTGCAGTGGCCACTAGAGATGTGCATTCTACATAGCGATCAATATAATGAGAGACATTAGGAGCTCTGAGCCAATGCTCATAATTTCAAACAAACTAGAGACTCCATTTATTTATGAAAAGAATTTAAGATGCTAATATATTTTTTCCACTGCCATTTTTTTCCATTTTTTAAAAAAATTTTTCAGTGGTTAATGATTGCTATAAATACGTTTGCATAGATCATAAAAATTATAAATATTAGCTACTTAATAAGCTTGGAATTCCGATTGTGAAAACTATTGCAATTTAAGGAATAAATGCTTGTTTGTAATATTGAGTGCTATCTTTTTTACGTGACCTTCTGAGTTCTTTTATTTTATTTTGAGAAGGATGATTTGCTTAAATGTAGAATTATCAACGAGAGCTAATAAATAATTGCTTCGACACAAGATCAGGGTCAAGGATCGGATCCATAATGAGAGATGGTACAGTTAAAGTGTTGTCAGAAATCTACAAGTATTTTTTGTCACTGCCTACATGCATATGTATGTGGGCTTGTAAAACTCTAAAAGTTATCTTTTCGATTAAAAAAAGAAGTTTGGTTATGTGTTGGGTCTATAGAGCTATGGCGATAAACAGGCTATAACAAAAAGGAGTTTACGAATGCATACATTGTTCTCAGAGGGCCAAGGAAGCGTTGTACCGCTGACGTTTCACACTTCTTTGAAAAGCCAACCAGTTATTATTGTAAGCTCAAAGGGACTTTTAAAAACCGAAGGATTTTTATGTGATTGATTGCGGGATGACGATGTAATTTTCCACATAGCTTGCATAAGAGAGAGAGAGAGAGTTGGAAAGTGCTATCGTATCAGGATAGGGATATGGCATTTTAGATTATAAGTATATTTGATCTTAAAATAGCTTGTTCTAGACGTGGAAAAGACAGTAAATATATAGTGAACTAATATTGCAATAAAGTGTGATATTTTTGTTTTTTGGGACCTTTTTTGCCTCTGAGTTTGATTCGGATGCACCCATCTCTAGTGCAAAGCTGTTGAAGTGCGTACGGCTGTGGACTTTGGCTTGTCGTACTGTCGTTTGCGCTGGCTTTGTGATGCTTTATTTGTCGAGTTGAGACGATTGCCGTGCACTTGGAAATGCAGCAGGAGCAGCATAAACGCTTTTTCCTGCCACTTCCATTTTTGTTCTCTCGTTGCCTGGCTGCTCCTTCGGGCCGCTGTTAACAGGATTAAATGCCAACTGCACACGTGGCTTGGGCTTGGCTGCCATTTTACTGGCCTCTGTTGGATGGCTCTCTTCCACACTCTGCCACTTCTTTATGCCATAGTACATTGTTGTTTAATGTGCACATCACAAATTTAAATCAATCATACGCCACGTGGTGCTGCACTGCTCCGGACAAGGTCTAGATGGGGAGAGTGTATAAATTTAAATTTCGTTTACAATATGTATCCACATGTTCGTATGTGTTCTCTGGTTTTAAATCAAAATCATAGCCCATGTGTCGTACCTGTCGTACCGCCTCCCCTTTGGCGTCCATCAAATATTTTTTTTGCGCATACATAAATATTTGAACTATGCTAGAAATTGTTGTGCTGTAAAATCAAATGCAAATATTTAAAGTCAACACGTTTCATTGGCTGCCAACAAAAAAGTTTGCGCTCTGCGCCGTGTGTTTTGATTTGGCCGCAATTATATCGAGCCATTTGCCCTTGCCAACAGCCAGTCAGTCAGTTAGTCAGACAGGCAGTCATTTAGCCAGTCAGACAGTCAGTTAGTCAGGCAGGCAGTCAGTCGAGCAGCCAAGCGGATTAATTCCTAAGCTCTCTCTCTCTCTCTCTCTCTCTCTCTCTCTCTTTCTCTTGTTCTCTCTTCATCTTGATACCCTATTATGGCAAGCCATAGAATAGTTCTTGTGCAAGCTGAAATTAATGCATTAATCTTTCATTTCCCAACGGTGCATGAAATTTTTACTTTTGATTGAAACCGTTGCTCGTTCTCTCTCTATCTAGCTCTTTCTCTCTATGCAAATCTGTTTCTCTGTGTTTGTCGCCCACCATCCAATGGCAAGCCATATTTCCTTTGCGTTTTTGCTTGCTCTGCTCTGTCGAGGGTCTGGCTTTGACTTAGTCGTAGCAACTTATAACGATTTTACTGCTGCTTCACTGGGCATCTCCTGCTGGGTGCGGGTGGGAGCTAAAGGGCGGAAGCTGGCTGCCATGCTGTGATGTTTTCAGTGCTTCTGGTGGAAGAGTGCCGATGCCAGGCGAGCGATTGCAGCAAGGCAACCACAGTGCGTATGATTGACATTGATTGCAACAAAAACAAACTTGTGCTTACTCTGTGCGTTCGCTCGCTCGCATCTGTTTGCTGTATGTGTGTGTGTGTGTGAGTGTGTGTGCATAACGTTGCCATGCTTGCATGCACTTTCAAAAACCAAATCAGAAACGTTGCCAGCTTGATAAATACGTAATTTGCAATTTGCTAAACAACACTCATATACGAGAATATACGCACAGTTCAACAAAAGTGCATTACAGTGAGAATAGAGCTGAATTAAATTTGTTTTAATCGAAATAAAATGTGATTTGCCTTTGATTTCAGATTTTAGTCATTTTTGTATATTTTAGCATGTATTCCAACTTCATATTACTCTCATGAAAAGGAAGGAAACCCGTTATATAATTATAAGACATAATATATTAGCGAATCTTTTGTCTGCAACGTAGATTGAATCCGATTTCTTCTTGTTAGGAAGAGGAAACCGGTTACATAATTAGACATAATATATTAGCGAATCTGTTTAGCGAAGCATTTTTTAATGCCGCGATCTTTACAGTGTCTTGGGCAACGTTTTAGCAAACAAAAATTACACAACCCATATGCAAGTCCATCAAATTGAGTCCAAAATTGTAAATAATCTTGCCATTAACAGTCAAAGCGTCGTTATTCTCCATGAGCATTAACATTTTGATTCAATTTGTTTCATCTTGGGCCCAATCAGCAAAACGCTTCAGTTCTTCTATCAATTTTAAATTATTTTATTGCCAAAATTCCCTAAATTGCGGTCATAGTAGGCGACGAGGTTTCGAATTTAATAGAGTAGGTATTTCAATTCATTGTAGAATGGTGTACTGCTTACCTTAGACTTGGCCAATTGTTGTTTCTATATATGTGTATTCCATGATGTATTACTTCATGGGTTACTTGATATGTTACTGTATTAAGTAAGAAAGAGCTTCATTAATTTATATCCTCTATATCCTTAAAAATAATGATGATGACATCAAAAAATCTAATCTAATACCCTTCCCTCTATTTTACAACAACAACTTGATTTCTTTATGTTCATAAAGAAGCCTTGGTTATTGCTTTATAGCTGTAATACTGTGGGATAAGTAGTGATTAAAACTAACAGCCAGACATCGCGGTTTAGATTGGAAATATATTTAATACATTTCATCAAGTTAAGAATGTGAAAATATCAAAAAGACAGTTCTTATAAAATATAATAAAAATCAAATGGATTTATATGTAAATATATATGTACTCGCACAAGTACAAGTACTTTTTTCACTAGAAGTTAAGTGATTTTAAGGCTTCAGTTTACCAACAAATTGGAGTTCATAGGGTTTCAGAAAAATGAAGTCGATACTTTTTTGATGTTTTAGGGCAACTGGCTTCTGCCTGTTTCATATTCGCATTTAATGTGAATTTGGCATTTTAGTTGCTGCAGCGCACTCATTTGGCACACCTGGGCATCAATTTGGGATTCATAAGTACACGCCGGTCCCTGACAGTTGGAAAGCAATGTCCGTTCTCTGTGGCATAGATTGCCGTACAAATAGTTTGCTATGATCGGTCACACCAGAGAGGCGCATTGCATGCACCTGCCAGCCTTTTGGCAGTTTAATTTGCGTGTTTTAAGAGATTGTAAGCCTTGTCGAGCTTATCTGCAACTCCCCCAAGTATTGACCTACTTTACTTGCATGGAGCGTCTCGGAGCCTGATTTCATTTGTGGGGGCGCATTTGCAATAATCAAATTGCTGGCAATGCAAACGAAAGACGAAACTGGGCCAAGTGAAGTCAAAAAGCATGAACCATCCACCTCAGCAGGTCCCACTGTATCAGTGGCCTGAATAAAATAAAGTTGCACTATATTTATGTTTAAAAACGGTGCAATTCAAAGCTCAAACGAGTGTGCAAATAAGCCACGCAAACGCCGCCACCGCCCAGTTTCCCAACGCAAATGAGTTTTTAACTCTGTTGTTGTTTAATCTTTATTTTCATTTTTTTTTAATAGATAGCAAACGCACTTAATTAATTTTATTTAACATGCCTGAGAGTCAGTGCGCCAACATTTTCATATTTGTATTAACTTTTTTCCTGCCACATGCGGGCCACGTTGCGCATACGTCGCGCGGCACCATTCGTGCTGGCTTAAACTAACAGCAACCCCCTCAGCACGCTCATCCCCCAACTGGCCACTGCACTGATTAAATTGATATGCACTGTCTATCCACGTCCGTACATAAACGGCTCCGTCCGTGGTCTGTGTAAATTATAAATTACCAACGGCGCGCGGCAACAGTGAAAGTGTGCTGCTCCTCGCGAATGTTCCATGGAATCTGGTTTCGGCCACCACATGAAATTTCAATTAAAATAAAAATGTATGCGCTTGTTCGCGTTGTCGCTTATAATTAAAATAATATGCGTGCCACGACCACGACCACGGCTGCGCGACAATGACTTCTAACTTGGCTTTTAAATGCGCTTCAATTTTCTGTTATTCATGTATTTATTTATTTTTGCTGTCCAGGCGGCTTCATGGGCGATATAGCGCTGCCAGAGGGCGACGAGGTACCCATAGTAGCGCGCACCCCTATCACTGATCCCGTCGAGTCTGAGTTGGAGTTTGAGTCGGACTCTGCGTCGAACCAAGTACAGGACACGGCCCTGTTACAATCGGATGCGCCGGCTGCGGCGGCGCCTGCCAAATACAATGCCAGCTTTCAACTGGATCTCGAAAAACTCAAACAGGAAGTCTATCACGAAGGACTGCAAGTGGAGGAAGAAGGTCTGACGGACATCATTCGGAAGAAGACAAAGCTACCCACGTTTCTTAGTCAATCTTCCAATCAAACTGGCGGTGGACAGTCCTTTCAACAGACTAATTCCCACTATCCGAGCAACGAGGCCACTCTGGTAAGTTTCCAGCCTAATCCCTTCAGTCGACCTAATTTGGTATCCGCAAAGTATGCTTTGAGGACAGCCAGAAGCATACAGTTTTTGTATGCTTATTCTTGCTTTGGAACCAACTATCGAATCAGAACAAGTATTTCTTTATGGTGTAGAAGCAGTTTTATGTTCGTTTAGATACAATCTTGAATTTTCAAAAGTCATGTTTTATTCAAACAATATTTTATTAAAGAGAATGGTTTCTGTGCTTGAGCGCCAAAAATGCTCGTCCTTACCTTTATTATTCCTTCAATGAAGCTGGTGGATTTCTAAATCTATTTAGTTCTGACATCTCATTATATTCTCAATTTAAAAACTCTTAACATTGAATTATCTTGCACACAAGAGATTAGTCGCCCACTTACCAATTTCCACCTATAAATAGCATGTGAATGAGCTCGTGAAGCCTACCCATGAAACGGCTGCGGACTATGCACAGGCCGGGAGTTACAAGAACGAAGTGCTGACAACGACCACCCATCGACGTAGTCACAAGGCTGCCAAACCTGCTCCACTTGAGCAGGAGGAGGAGCAGCGGGCGCCCGACATGCCGCACCTAAACAAATCGCAAACTGTCCTCAACTTGCACCGAAATGTGGACCAGCGCAAAATTCAGTCGGACAACAAGGACATCGAATACGATTCGGGAAATAATTTTGTGCTGTCACGCAGGCAGCCCCACATAGTCCCCACCTCACTGCCCACGCAGCGCTCCACGCTACCAAATGTGTACAGTAATGCCGGCGGCAATGGCATGCATCTGGACGACGATGTGGACTTTCTGCATGCCCGTGGAGTGGTCCGACGTAGGCATCGGCGAGGCCGCAAGAATCGGTAAGTAGAGCCGACAGACGCACAAGTTTGAACAACTTGCTACACGATTGCACCAGCAACTACAATACGCTTTAAAAGTATAGTATAGTACGCTTGAAATAATTTCAAAATGCATTCGGGCAGATACTGGAATAGTGGAATAAGAAAGGATCATCCGATTGACGCATAATTGGGGTAGGAAAAATGTCATGTTAACCATTACAAGTACACTTAACTAACAAAAAACTACACTTGATAAAAAGCCAGAGCAATAGTAAAAAGTAATTAGTAGTAGAAATTGATTGTCGTCAGAGTTGGGTACAAATTGTAAAAATACAAGTACATTACTGCTGTTAACAAAATGTTCTGGTTTATAGAGTTTTCGCGTTCTTGACTAACCCATTTGTTCAATAGTCGTTAGTTCTCTTAGAAAAATACTGTACAGCGCTTTTTAAATTATTGCCATTTGTGGTGAATCGTGAAGCCATGAGTTCTTTTTATCGTGACGAGGTCCTTCATATGGTACCTTGTTACGAGTCCATCTCTAGCGTCCACATGCACAGCTAATGCAAATTAATGATAAACATGGCAGGCGCAGTAGCAGCGGCAACAACAACAATAGTACCAGCAGCAGCACGGACTATGCCCAGAAAGTGCAGCGTTTACGGGAGGAGCTAAATCGACCAGAACGCCAGCACAACCACCAGCACCGGCCAAAGCATCACAATCAGAAAAAGCAACGCTCGAAGCATCGACGCCGTCGCATCGGCCATGCCACTCATAGCATCGATGACATCACGTCCTACGCGCCACAGAGTTTTAATTACTCGTCCGCGCATGCCGATGAGCTGGAAGTATTAACCAAACGAAAGGCCACCATGGATGCCATCAATGCTGAAGTGCAGCACTCCACGCTTGAAATGGATTTGCAAAATGCGGAGTAAGTTTCGAGACCAAAGCCATACACATGTACAAGTATATTTCAGCCTTCCAACCTTGCCATCACTCAACCCACCAACCTACCACCCGCACTACACTACTATATCTCTGTGTTGCCACCTCAGCCACATCCGTTTCCGTCGTCGTTGCCATTTCCTGCCCTGTTGTAAATTGTAGCCAGAGGTTGGCCATTCAATTCGTGCTGCGGCTTTGGCTTTGCCTGCCACAGCAACTGCCACTGCCACTGCCACTGCCACAGTGACTGCAGCTCCTCGGCATAAATTTTAAACAAACAGCAGTCATTTTTGGCTGGCTTTATGCGATTTAGTGCCTTTCTCCCGCCCGCACACACTCCCACACACCCATGCAAAAGCACGCCCGGTTGATGTGTGTGCGTGCAAAGTTGAAAAGTTATGAATTTTAATAGAAATTCGCGTGCCAAAGTTTTGGTAACAGCAACGAAAAATGTTTGAAAAACTGTTGGCAATTAAAATGCGCATACGCCACGTGAAACTTTGCGCGCCCCCGCACACTCGACACTCGACACCCCACCTCATACCTGCAACAAAAGCAACCTTAAAAACCAACTGTTGCACTAGCACGCTGTAAGCTGACACCACCGCCCTTTTACTTGTATTGTGCTTCGCAGCAACCTCAAGCAATTGGAGCAACATCATCGCGTTGCACGTGCCGTCACGGCCAAGAAGGAACGCATCTGGGACTATGGCGTCATACCCTACGAAATCGACGGCAACTTCAGTGGCCTGCACAAGGCACTCTTCAAGCAGGCCATGCGCCATTGGGAGAACTCTACGTGCATCAAGTTTGTGGAGCGCGATGCGGAAATACATCCCAACTACATTGTATTCACGGTCCGGAGCTGCGGGTAAGTCTGACCATCGAGCCTACCTTAAATCTAACTGCAAATTTTTGTATAACATTAAAAGATCGAAAATCTATCCATTTATTTTATTGATCGAACTGCCATACAAGTATATTCTATATAAAATAGGTGCTGCTCGTTTGTCGGCAAGCGCGGCAATGGACCGCAGGCTATCTCGATTGGACGCAACTGCGACAAATTCGGAATTGTGGTGCACGAGCTGGGACACGTGGTGGGCTTTTGGCACGAGCACACGCGACCCGATCGGGAGCAGCACGTGGTCATAGAGCACAATAACATCATGAAGGGACAGGATTACAATTTTAATATGCTCTCGGGGGATGAGGTGGACTCTCTGGGCATGGCATATGACTATGATTCTATAATGCACTATGCGCGCAACACATTTTCCAAGGGCACCTATCTGGACACCATTCTGCCCATTGAAATGAAGGGTCGCAAGCGACCAGAGATCGGTCAACGCCTGCGCCTCAGCCAGGGCGATATAGCTCAGGCGAATCTGCTATACAAGTGCCCCAAGTGCGGTCGCACCTTCCAAGAGAGCACGGGCATCTTTGCCAGCCCCGCTTACTATACAGCGGGCGCCTTGAGCAACGAGACAGAGCAGTGTGAGTGGCGCATTACCGCCACCCATGGAGAACGCGTTGTCCTGCGACTGGAGAACATGGTAGGTAATCCAACCTGTCAAAATGGTCCAAATTTGTATCACAACTATTAAAAAGGAAAGGCGAAACAAAATAATTTCCATGAATTCATAGCAGCAACTAACAATTTATTGATCGTTTTGATATACAAGTAGTTGGGTAAAGAAGAAAAATCCTGGCATAATCCTAACATAAGAAGAACCACCTTAAGACAAAGACTCTTCGTTGCTTTTGCAGAACATATTCAAGTCAAACAACTGCGAAGCGGACTACTTGGAGGTACGTGATGGCTACTACTTCAAGTCACCGCTAATTGGACGCTTCTGTGGAAAGGTGGCCAACGAGGTTATAACAACGCAATCCAGCCGCATGCTGCTCACCTATGTGAACACACATCGCAGCGAGGGCTATCGCGGCTTTAAGGCAGAGTTTGATGGTGGGTGCAATAACAATAGCAAGAACAACATAAATAGCAGCAACTATAAATTGATTATACTTCCCTTTCGATTTTTGCAGTCGTTTGCGGCGGTGAGTTGTCCGTGGATGATACAGAGGGTCGCCTGGAGTCGCCCAACTATCCACTCGACTATTTGCCGAACAAGGAGTGCGTGTGGAAAATAACCGTGCCAAAGGGCTACCAAGTGGCGTTGAAATTCCAGTCGTTTGAGGTTGAGAACCATGACAGTTGTGTCTATGACTATGTGGAGGTGCGCGACGGCCCGGAGCAGGATGCGGCGCTAATTGGCGTTTTCTGTGGCTACAAGCCGCCACCAAACATGAAGTAAGTGCAGACCCAGCCAGATATACCCACAAACAGGCTCCAACACCCACGGCATTGTTCGCTGCACTTTCAGGTCAAGTGGCAATTCGATGTACGTCAAATTCGTGTCGGACACATCGGTGCAGAAGGCCGGTTTCTCGGCTATATTCATGAAGGAGGTGGATGAGTGCGAAACACAAAACCACGGCTGTGAGCACGAGTGCATCAACACGTTGGGTGGCTACGAGTGCAGTTGCCACATTGGGTACGAGCTGCACAGCGATAAGAAGCATTGTGAAGGTGCGTCTTCCCATTGCCATTAACCATTCACCATTCACCATTACCCAATTGCTTTTGTCCTTTGCCCGGTTGGCCATTGTGTGGCCGCTGTATGTCACTCACAGGCCAGTGACCGAGCGCCCATCCGCCCTGCTGCCAAGTGTCGTTTTAATGACCATGTCTGTGTTTCGCTTTAACTCTCGCCCTTCTTTTGTTTAGATGCCTGCGGCGGCGTTATCGAGTATCCGAACGGAACCATCACCTCGCCCTCGTTCCCGGACATGTACCCCGTGCTAAAGGAATGTATATGGGAAATTGTGGCGCCACCCAAGCACAAAATCTCGTTGAATTTCACCCACTTCGATCTAGAGGGCACGTCGCATCAGCAATCGGACTGTGGGTACGACTCGGTCACCATTTACTCCAAGCTCACGGAAAACCGCCTCAAGCGCATTGGCACATTTTGCGGTAGCGCCATTCCTCCGACGGCGACCTCGGAGAGCAATGCACTGCGCGTTGAATTCCATTCGGACAAGTCCATACAGCGTTCCGGGTTTGCGGCCGTCTTCTTTACGGACATAGATGAATGTGCCGTAAACAATGGCGGGTGTCAGCACGAGTGCCGCAATACCATCGGCTCCTACATATGCTTCTGTCATAATGGCTACTCGCTGCACGAAAATGGACATGACTGCAAGGAGGGCGAGTGCAAGTACGAAATATCCGCATCCTTTGGCACCATCTACAGTCCGAACTATCCGGACTCGTATCCCCCGAATGCAGACTGTGTGTGGCATTTTTCCACAACACCGGGTCATCGCATCAAGCTCATCTTCAACGAGTTTAACGTGGAATCTCATCAGGTGGGCAAGAGTTCGACTCTCTCTATAATCTGTTTTATACAAAACTTTTCATATTAGCCTAATGAGGCAGCCCAAAAAATTTTTTAAAATTATGTATTTCGAACTGCAATTCCAGTCCTTCGTCAGAAGGCCTAAAGCCCTTTTCTTTGAATAGCGAACCTTATTGCGGAAATCTATTCTTGTATGAAATGCACATTAAAAATGCAACTTTAAGTATTGCTAGCGACCACATTTGTATTCTGAATTCTGAATTCTGAATTCTGATTTAAATACTTTAAAACTAGGCTTAGGATTTGTTTAAAGAATTGGAAATAATGAGGGTCATTGCAGGAATGCACCTATGACAATGTGGCCGTCTACGATGGAGAATCAGAGGCCAGTTCCATTCTCGGCCGTTTCTGTGGGGACAAAATACCATATCCAATATCCTCGACCACCAATCAGTTGTATATGGTGCTGAAGACAGACAAGAACAAGCAACTCAATGGCTTTACGGCCATTCATTCAACGTGTAAGTGAAGCTACTATCTACTATATTTTTAAATGGTCTATGTTCAAACCTGGAAGTTGTAGCTTGTGGAGGCTACCTGCGTGCCACCAACCAGATCCAGCAATTTTACTCGCATGCTCGCTTCGGAAACCAGGACTACGATGATAATATGGATTGTGAATGGACCATACAGGCCCCACCAAGCAGTAATGTCCAACTGCTCTTCCTCACGTTTGACATTGAGAGCAGCGAGAACTGTACCTACGACTATGTGCAGGTCTTCTCGGGCATGGAGGACACTAGTGGACCCATGTATGGCCAATACTGTGGCAATGTGGTAGGTGTTTTAAGATATACAAAGTCAACTCGAGTTCATCTCTGGAACTTTCAAAACAGCTCCCACAAGACATTATATCGCTGACGGACTCGCTGCTGGTTCGATTCAAGACCGATAGTTCGGTTCCTATGAAGGGTTTCTCGGCATCGTACGTGGCAGTTGATCCCTTTGAGAACAGCGATGAGGATGTGGAGAGCTCGTACAGCTCCGAGATGGTCACGCCGTTTCCTGGCTCCCTAAAAAGTATATATAAGGAGGACACTGAGGAGACGGATGACTACAGCGACTTTAGCGAGAATCACTTGGTCCTGAATAACCAGTACCGTGGGCGCTTTAGCTACCCTAGCAGATACTCCTCCTGGACGAACTAGAGCGAGCAGAAACACGCACAAAATTCATGACAATATATTACAAATGGAATTTATATTAAAAGAAAATTAGGCATATCGTCGCGTACATATAGGAACATTTGCCCCCCTCTCTCTCACATACACATACACATAAACATACAGATTAACAAGTAACATACATAATCATTGTACCAGAATAAACCCAATGTTAGTTCTTAACACTCGTTAGGTTTTATCGTGCCAGGCATATCGCGAAAGGGTTCAAAAACCAAACAGAAACCGAAAGACAAACAAAATACACCAAAACAATTACTATACATATTAACATAAATATTATGTCCATGCATGTAGATTCCTACATATAGTACACAGCTTAATGAATTTCTTGCAAACTTTAAGCTGTTTTATTTCAAATAGGATCACTACTATATATAAAGGTACAACGCACACGTTTGAAAAGTCTGTCTTTACATCAAAGAAATCAAAACAAAAAACAACAAAATGTTGAAATCAATTTAGAATTTAAATGTACTCATATACCCAACTATCCGTAGAGTAGGTCGGTCTTACAGTAAGCCCGCTTCCACATACTATATGTTAGTATAATATTGACATTGCTTTGCGCAGTTTTCAAGCATTTCCGATGCAATTAGTTTGTGTGTGCCAATTTAATATACACACCTATACCTACTTTATGTTTTAAAAATGTGCTGTTGCTATTTATGTATGTATGTATGTGCCATACAAGTCTGTGTGTATTTACTGGTCTAGTGCATTTCTATACTTCAAAATTATATTTAGACTAAGTCGGGAGGTGACAAACTCGTATGTCAAGCAGAAATTAAGGTTAACTTTACACTTGAATCTTATGTATAATTCTAAAATTTTGACTTGAACTTAAACATTTTAATCATACGTAATTACATAAATAAATTTATAATTAGTATGTTTAACAATTATATCAGCTGCCTTTTACTAATTGTACAATTATTAAGGTGTTTTTTAATTCACCTAATACGGGTGTGTGTTCACCAATATCGAAGCCGTCTCCCTTACGATCGGCTATAGCCTCAGCTCGTTACTACAAATTCTATCGGCAACGAAAGCGATAGACTTTATCATTTCTGTGCCCACGAGATATACATATGCATTACATTGTAAGCGCTTTAGGGGTCTCGTGGGGTCTCAGTACAATAAACCACACAAAAACTACATTTCACAAAAAGCATGTAATAATTCAACCAGTTTCGTTTTATTTAAATGAGAATAGTTAAAGTGTTCGGCCACATTCAATTTCAGAAAACTGTGCCTAATCTGTACACAACTGTATTTTATAACTAATTTTCCGCCAAAGATAATATCCCTGGTGTCACATTAGTATAGTATAATTCGTTGCTCAATACGTACATATGTATAAATAAAGGACCTAAGTTGCGATGAAAAATACCGAGAAAGCATCGAAGCCTAGTTAGCGGAAATATACTTTTAGCTACCAGTATTTTCACATACATCTTCTAATTATAATTTATTAGCGTAAGTAAGATGTCGAATTCGAAAAATAGTGAACAAATGATTAGCATCTCCAGTTTTACAAACCAATTGCTTCGCCTTGAAAATGAATGCGAACAGAGTTTAATATTTTGAGCGATAAAAACTGTTGTTTGTTGTTGTTTGACATGGGACAAGAGAAATTATTCGGCGAAGAATCAAAATGTAATATAGAAACACAACCTTCTCACTAAATAAGTATTTACTTAGCATTCTATTTTGTTTCAAACTAGCGTATCCGGCTTGCGTTCCTGAGCCGCGACTCCCATTCTTGTTTTGCTTCGAGGGCTCTCGATGTGGATGCCCTTTCGCGAAGATCTTGCAAACGTGATTCGCGTTCATCGGCATTTTCAGCAGCTCTTTTTTCGCTCATATTTTTTTAATTTGTGTTTTTTTTTTTTACCAATATATGCTTTTTGATGTCATTTTTTTAAAATTAGATTTTACAATTTGATTTATTTACGAATGAAACACTGACAAAAAGAGTAAAAAGCGACTGTCAAAGAATTGACAATTAGCAGAAATAAGTAAGCCAGAAAACTATGGTTGATCGCTTCGAATCATCGTCACGAAACTTCACAGGATCACCCATGTGACTATTTTGAATATTGCCAATAAATTTTATTAAAATCGGTTGAGTTTCGGAGTAACAAACGAAGTAACAAACAGAAATAGACGTGGCAGACCTCACAAAGTGTATATATTCTTGATCAAGATGACAAGCCGAGTTGATATAGCCATGTCCGTCCGCCTGTCTGTCCGTTCGTCTGTATGAGCACAAGGATATCGGAAAGTACAAGGGCTAGAATAACCAAAGTTGGTATCCAGTGATTTTCCATAACTCTCGTAATTAAAGATTGGTAATTACATCCCGTTAGTAGTTATAGACACGATTCTATTGCAAATGTAGGATGTTGTGTCTATTTATTTGATATATATACGATACGTTATATATGCATATATAAATTAAAAACAAATGTTTTAAAAATAATTTTAAAAAATTAAAACAATTAATAATTTAATTTTTTTAAATAATTTTTTTTTGCTCTAGGTTTTATAGTTTCTGAGATCCTTGCGATCATCCAGCCGGACGGACATGTCTAGATCGATTTCTTTCGACATGCTGATTCAGAATATATATACTTTATGGGGTCGGAGATGCTTCCCTCTGAATGATATACACTTTGGACAAACCTAATATACCCTTTTACCCTACAGGGTATACAATTTTTTTTTTGTGGGATTGGAGTACAGGGTATTTTAGTGTCGAGCTTGCTCGACTGTAGCGTTCTCTCTTGTTTTATATACATACATACATATAGATAGACAGATAAATACATAAATGATGTCGTCACTTGTGTGACAATTGGTTAGACATTTTTTAAATTTCTTCTTTACTTGTTCCTCTTCCCGTCCTCAGCTGCAAGGCCTTTCAAGTTGCAAACATTTTATGATTACCATTCGGTTCGAAATAGCACCTTGCCGTTATAAAATACAGTCTTTGGTCATTACCTGAAAGCAATTTTGAATATGATTTATTAGTGGAATTACCGCGAAAAGTTTCGTTCATAAGCGAATATTAATGACCTGCCCTAAAATGCCACCTGATCCAGCAAATGCACTCGCGACAACAACGCGACTCGAAAGTTCGGCTCAAAGGCGATCTTGAGTGTCACTCGCCACAGGTAGGCAGACAGATGTGGACGTAGATGTCGATGGCGATGTCGATGTGGATGTGTATGCGGATGAGCAGCAAGCGGTCGCGACAATGTCAAGGTGGAGGGATACCCAAATCAAATCCATTGAATGCAAACAAACAGACAGACAATGGGAAGCACCAACAACAACTACAGCAACAATAATAATGTGAATTGCCAATGAGGAGGGCCGGTCGCCGGTCGCCGGTTGCCGGTCGCTGGCCTCTGGTCCTTAGTCGTGGCCAGTATCAAAAAGACCACTCGATGGTGTCGCAGATATGATTGTTGTTATTGTCGATGACGACAGCGTTAGATTGAAAGCACGCACACGCTTCTTGCTGCTGCTGCTGCTGCTGCTGCCTCGGTTCCTGCAGCCGACCGTCGCTGTGGTCCATGGTTTCTCTCTCTTACCTCTTACCTGCTTAATCCCTGGAGCAAAACCCTTAAGAATTTCTGTTGAACAGACAATTGAGCGATATAATTCGACAGACCCGGCATTTGAGCATTCAGTTAAATCGTTGATTTTGTGTGGCGCGGTTGTCTGCGCACGATCGGAAACAAACAAAACCTAAATCCAGATAATAAGCCGGGCGCCATGTTCAGGTCGTTGCAAATTAAATGTATTGTGCTTTTCGCGTCAATGGCGATATCGGCATTGACGTGGAGTGTGGCTCTGGATCAAGACGACTGCGAATTTGATTTTCGCGAGCAGCCGGAGGATTTCTACAGCATTCTGGATGCTGTGGATGTGAGTCTAGCTACTTTAATGAGATAATCCATTTTAATGCAATAATGAGATGTATTATTTTATAGAATCAAAAATCGTTGCTCGAAAGTGAAACAAAGTATACCACCGGGCCAGCAAAAAGCATCAAAGAGACCGAGCTAATTATACCGAAGAAGCACAGAAATGATAGGAATGGGCTCAAAATAATGCGGAACAGCTACAGGGCGAGTGCCAGGCGTGTGTCCAGGTAAGTGAAAAACCTGCCACATTGTCCACGTTCAGAGCGCGCAACAATGCACACAATCAGCCAGTGGGCCAGTCAGCCAGTGAGTTATCCAAGCATTTCATTTGTGTCAGCGGCCACTCGTCGGAGACCACTCGATGCTCCTCTTATTGCGCACTTTGTGCCTCGTCAAGTGGGATTGGCTCGACGCTCAAACAATAGCAGCAGCCAATGCCGTATAAATCAGTCACTCATTCTTTTTTGTACGGCTTTGCAGACGGCGCCGGAAACAGCAGACAACTGGAGCCAGAACCGCTGTGACATCACCATCGGTACCTCTCCTCTGGACTGATGCTGCTGCCGACCTTTTTGAGCGACGGCGTCACCGCCAGCGACGAGCTGTGACCGTTAGAAAGGAGCGCACTTGGGACTATGGCGTGATACCATACGAAATCGATGCTATTTTCAGTGGCGCGCACAAAGCGCTCTTCAAGCAGGCGATGCGCCATTGGGAGAACTTCACTTGCATCAAGTTCGTGGAGCGCGATGCGAAGCTGCATGCCAACTACATTTACTTTACAGTCAAAAATTGCGGGTAAGTCTTCTCCCATCTAATATAAAGACCCATTGATTTAGTTAGCCCAATACCTACATATGTTGTGGCAATGTAATCAATATTTATTCATATGTACTATATTCTGAAGCGTAGCTTTCAAAAGGTATGGCGTGCAAAGGCCTAACAAATCCTAATTCTGTGTATAATCCACATAGGATCTATTCCATAAGCCGCGTTCATTTTTCCATGACACTAGACTAAACATCAGACTAGAAACTGTGCTTGATTGCTTGAGAAAACACATCTCTACATACATACATACATAGTATGTAAATAAACAGCATCATACATACAAGTACATACATACATATGTATACAAGTGAATGTATATAATATGTATGAATGTACATACAAATTTTCTTATTTTAGACAAATGGCCGGCACTTCAAAGCTTTGGCTTCTTAAGCAAGACGGGTTTCATTGTTCCTTGCTTACTTACTTACGATTTCTTCGACAAAGACCTTTGCATATAAAGACTTCAATCGAATGATCTCCCCAAGCATATTTGTTTGTTTATTTATTTGCAACATTAAATATTTAATATATATGCTAAATCACAGTAAATCATGAAAATAAAAAGGAGTGTATTATTCATTTTCACTTTTCTATTGAATAACAAAAAAATCATTTAAATCGGAAATTGCGCCAAACGAAGGGTTAATATACAAGTATATTGCTTTTATATTTTAGGTGCTGCTCGTTTTTGGGGAAAAATGGCAATGGCCGCCAGCCGATCTCTATAGGCCGCAACTGCGAGAAATTTGGCATTATTATCCACGAGCTTGGCCACACCATTGGCTTCCATCACGAGCACGCGCGCGACGATAGGGACAAGCACATAATCATTAATAAGGCGAATATTATGCGTGGTCAGGAGTATAACTTCGATGTGCTGTCTCCGGAGGAGGTGGACCTACCACTGCTCCCCTACGACTACAACTCCATAATGCACTATGCCAAGAACTCTTTCTCTAAAAGCTCATACCTGGACACAATCACGCCAATTGGCATTCCGTCGGGCGTCCACATCGAACTGGGGCAGCGGCGGCGTCTCAGTCGGGGCGACATTGTTCAGGCCAATCTGCTCTACAAATGCGCTCCCTGCGGTCGCACCTTTCAGCAGAACTCGGGTCGCATAATCTCCCCACATTTTCTGCAAACAGACGTTGTGGGTAGCAATGGAGGGGTACCTAACGATTTCGAGGGCAGTGGGTACTCCGACGAGGATGAGGATAAGCGGCAGCTCGATGCTGCAGTCGGAAGTTGCGAGTGGCGCATCACGGCTACCAATGGCGAACGCATTATTCTGTACTTGCAACAGCTACATCTGTTGGCATCTCCGAACTGCACGCAGGACTACCTCGAGATTCGAGATGGCTACTGGCATCGCTCCCCAGTGATGCGGCGCATTTGTGGCAACGTTACGGACCAAAAAATTACCACTAAAACGAGCCGCATGCTCATTAACTACGTTAATCATAATGCGGCACGTGGCTATCGTGGGTTCAAGGCAAACTTTGAGGGTAAGTCGAAATATACAATTTCAACGTTGATACGAATTTATGGTTCATTTGGGGGATAGTGCAAAATTCCCATCTGAAATACTTGTAAGCCGAAAATAGTGCATTCATACTGACAAAAAATTACTAACTAAATTCATTAGTATGCAATAAAATTTAAGGATTATGATATAGTATTACTTATGTGTAGAATACAAGTATATTACTTGTAGATTACTGCAATTTTAATCAATTTAATTAATACTGAACTGTCGTAGTCTATTGCAATCGAACACTCACAATTTTCTATTCCTTTTTCACGTTTCCAGTGGTCTGTGGAGGCGACATTTTGCTGGACAAAGACCAATCCATTGACTCGCCCAACTACCCCCTGGAGTACATGCCCGATAAAGAGTGCATCTGGCGGGTTACGGCCCCAGAGCACCACCAAGTGGCGCTTAAGTTCCAAACGTTTGAGCTGGAGAAGCACGACAGTTGTATATACGACTTCGTTGAAATTCGCGATGGAAGTCGTAATGACTCCCGGCTAATAGGACGGTTCTGCGGTGAAAAGATACCCCCAAATATTAAGTAGGTGTCATCTTATAGGCGCTGTATGTAAATATCAACCTTTACTCACTCCCTTTCTATTCTCGGTAGGTCACGAACCAATCAGATGTACATCAAGTTTGTATCGGACAACTCTGTGCAGAAGCTGGGATTTTCCGCCGCCCTCATGCTAGACATGGATGAATGCAAATTCAAGGATCATGGCTGCCAACATATATGCATTAACACTTTGGGTAGCTACCAATGTGGCTGCCACGCCGGGTACGAGCTGCAAGCCAATGGCAAGAGTTGCGAAGGTAACTTCAAACTATAGATTAGGATTGTTTATGTTTCTAATCTGTGCCATGTCATTGCAGATGCATGTGGTGGCATTGTGGATGCCACCAAATCGAACGGCACTCTGTACTCGCCCTCCTATCCTGAACCCTATCCGAACGCCAAGGAGTGTGTGTGGGAAGTTGTAGCTCCGCCAAATCATGCCGTGTTCCTCAGATTCACGCATTTCGATGTAGAGGGCACGAAGTTCCAGTACAGCAAGTGCAATTACGATTATCTGGTCATCTATTCAAAGATGCGAGACAACCGTCTCAAGAAGATTGGCACCTATTGTGGGCGTGAGCTGCCCCCAATGGTTAACTCAGAGCAAAATGTTTTGCGCCTGGAATTTTATTCCGATCGGACCGTGCAACGTAGCGGTTTTGTGGGCCAGTTTGTCATAGGTATGTCGGTGTCTATTTAACTCAATAAGTTTCGGGGCTCAATTGAAATGATTTTCTGCTTTTCTCGGGCAGATGCTGATGAGTGTGCGGTGAACAATGGTGGCTGCCAGCACCGGTGCCGTAACACCTTCGGGAGCTATAAATGTAGTTGCCGAAACGGCTACACACTAAGCGAGAACAGCCACAACTGTACAGAAACGAAATGTAAGTTCGAGATCACTTCGTCGTACGGTTTGCTGCACAGCCCCAACTACCCGGGCGATTATCCGCGAAACATCTACTGTTACTGGCATTTCCAAACCGTGCTGGGCCACCGGATACAACTGACTTTTCATGACTTTGATGTGGAGAACCATCAGGAGTGCATTTACGACTATGTTGCCATCTACGATGGGCGCTCAGAGAACAGCTCCACTCTGGGCCTTTATTGTGGAGGCCGGGAACCGTATGCTGTTACGGCCTCCAGCAATGAGATGTTTATGGTACTTAAAACCGACGCCGGCCTGCAGCGCAAGGGCTTCAAGGCTACTTTTGTTTCAGAGTGTGGTGGCTACCTTCGAGCTACGAACCACACCCAGGTGTTTTACTCACATCCGCGATATGGAAGTCGCCCCTATAAAAGGAATATGTACTGTGATTGGCGCATTCAGTCTGATCCGGAAAGCAGCGTCAAGATCAAGTTTTTGCATTTTGAAGTGGAGTACTCGGAGCGATGCGACTATGACTTCTTGGAGGTTACAGAGGAAGGATATGCTATGAACACTATTCACGGGCGCTTCTGTGGCAAGCGCAAGCCTCCAATAATTATCTCCTACTCGGATACCTTACTGCTCCGTTTCCAGACGGACGAGAGCAACTCATTGCGAGGTTTTGCCATTTCGTTTATGGCCGTTGAGCCGCCCGATGATGACGGTGGTGAGGATTTTGAAACGGTTACTCCGTTTCCAGGCTATCTGAAGAATATGTACGCGTCTGAGACGGCCAGTGACGTATCCGATTTGGGGACAGTTGTGGCTCAGCGAGCACATTTTCTACCCCCAAGCAAATTGGTTTAAATAAGCTTTTAATCAGCAGTAAAATTATGCTTTATGTTTTGTTGTTGCATTTATAAATAAATTAAATAACCACAATGTTTTTCTTTCTTTTAAATTTAAGCCATATCGAATTATGCATCAGTTTAAGTATTTTTTGCTATATCTTAAATAAGTTTAAAAAAGAACGGTTTTAAAACAACAACTATAGTGTATATCTGTTCTGTACTGTAACGGTTTTACTTTAAATGATTTTTAAATGTATTTCCAAATATTATTAAATTGGCTGGTACTTATATATTCTGCATTTAGTTTTAATTAAACATTTTAGTATAATTTATTAAGACCTGCTTTCCATCCCTGACTTTTTAAAGAAACCGTTTATTTACAATGCGCGCACTACCGAATAAGGCGTTGCCATACTTGCGTAAACAGAAACACTAAAAAAGACCAAAACGCCAAGATGCAAGTCGGTCATTTACGCAACCCTAGCAAGCCATTTCAAAATGGAAACGGCGGCGTCGGCTTCTAGTCGCTCGTATTTTAATTAGGCGCGCGCTAATTTGTAAAGGCGCCTGATGTTAGTTGTGTTAATTGCTGGAATTTCGCCTCTCGTATTTGTGTATTAACTGTTTTGTGAACCGTGTATAGAAGAGGTGTTGTTGGTTGCCAAATTCAATTTGCGAATTTTTCGCTTAAAGAACAACAATTTCAAAGCGTGAATTCCTGCATTCAAGATGAGCGCCTTTGAGGTGAGTTTCTATGTCAAGGAATGTAGAACTGCCTGTAGCGGTAAATTATTCATTTACAGATTTCTGTAACACCATCGCGGCTGAAGCAAAAAAAGCGCGTAGAGGGTCGCGAGCCGGCGGTCGTGGTCATGGCGCCTTTCTCCGCCAAGGCCATTGTGCAGTTTGAGGACGTTCCCATTACAAAGACCGCCAAGCGTACTGTGCGCGTACTCAACCCCAGCGACGAGGACATTGAGGTTAGTTGGCCGCAGATATGGATCGCTGCGTGTCTGCGCTTGAAACCTGGCAACGGCGTCGAGTTTGTTAGTTTATTTCTATATTTGATCAATGTTCTTAGGTAAAAGTAACCAGGCCCATTAAGGTTGAACACAATTTGAGTCTCGAGTGGACGGAGCATATTGTTCCAGCACGCGATGAGGTGTCCATGGAGCTAGTGTGGAGTCCTCAACTGGAGGTTGCGTGCAAAGAAACTCTGCAGCTGCTTGACAGTCGCAACTTCCGCAAGGATGTCATGATTATACTTAAATCGAAGGGCAACCAGGTAGCAAGGGTAAGTTTGTGTGTATTCAAATATGTGTTAAACTCTCAGTGTCACTCATCCCTCTTACCTGTTGCAACCCCAGAATTCGCGTAAATTTCCTACCGTTGGCAAAACGCTGCAACTTAAATCACCGACGGGTGGGTTGAAGATACACAAGAGCACGGTTAGTGCAGCTGCTGTGCAGCAAAAAAAGCGTTTGTCTGCCGCTGCGTCGACCTCTGCCAAGTCAACAACTGGGGCCTCTGAAAAACCGCCTTGGAGAAATGTACCGGTACGGAAGGCAACAGCTACGCAGGCACCCCTGACCGAGCACAATGTATACTCTCAAGACTGTTTTAGTGCACCACTGCAATCGTTTGTTTCGCCTCCTACTCCTGGGCATAAGGAAAATGTTAGTCCCGGAACACCAGCCAATGTATTAAGCATGATCGATAAATTTAAATTCACACCGCTCAACGATACACGCAACGCCCAGAATATGCCAGATAACCTAGCTAACTGGCCGACACCCATCCTTAATGTGGAAGTGACGAGCACTTACTTGACTAGGGATATAAAACCACGCCGCCTAACGACTGCTGAGCTGGCTACCAACGATGATGAACCCTTGAACCTAACTACTACACATTTTGTCACAAACAAAACCTTTGAAATAAACCAGGAGGGCATGGAAACTTCCCTAGATGTCCAGGACTATGCGCGCACAGATCTAGTCCTGCAGACACCCACGTTGAACAGAACCACTACCATTAGTCACGGCACTTGCACACGCCCTCTGGAATGTATTCGCGAAGAGGATGGCAACAGTCCCCCCAGAATAAATATACGTACAGCGCCGGAACAAAACCGCATGAACGATCTGAAAAGGGATATTCAAATGGTCGGTTCACCGCTGCGCAAATATTCAGAGTCTATGAAAGATTTGTCACTGCTCTCGGCGCAGGCAAAGATTGCCATACAGGGCTCCATGCCCAATCTCAACGAGATGGCACAAATACGCTCCATTGAACAAAATCGTTACTATCAGCAGCAACAGCAGCAAGAGGAGCAACAGAAGCTGCCGCTCCAGACGAAAAAGCTGCCAACATCACTGGATAATTCCAGTTGCAGCGAGACGAGTATAGTTTCCCATCAGGATCTGCAATTCAATCAACACGAGATTCTTGCCCAGTCTAGTCGGTTTAATCTTCACGAGGTGGGTCGTAAATCGCGTAAAGGCAGCCCACAAAAGGATGAGAAAACGTTGAATATCAGTTCCATCAGCCATGCGAAAAAGCGGCGCTCTCACGAGTTGTCTTTTTCGGACGCTCCCAGCACTGAGTCGTTAAACAGGAAAATGACAGCTACAGATGCGTTGGAGATTTCTCCTCCAAAGCGTCAGCGCGTCGGGGGCTTGGACGTTTCGCATCTGCGAAAAGCACCCACCAATGCCTCAGCTCCGCGGATTAAGGCCTGGACGCGTACTCAGCCCAAGAAAATTAAGCTTGCGCAGACACTATCGTTAATGAAAAAGCCGGCAACGCCCCGAAAAACTTGCGAGCAGCCCACCGTTAAGCTGTACGACTCTGAACTTTATATGCAGTCATATATAAATCCGGATCCTTTTGCGGCCACCACAACTCAAGATCCTTTTCTTGCCTGCACCATGTATTTGGATGAGCAAGCTGTGGAACGTCATCAAGTGGACTTTAAGAAGTGGCTCAATGCCCTGGTATCCATACCCGCTGATCTCGATGCAGACACCAATAATAAAATTGATGTAGGCAAACTGTTTAATGAGGTGCGTAACAAGGAACTTGTAATGGCGCCTACAAAGGACGAGCAGTCAATGAACTATTTGACTAAATATCGCCTTGAGTCTTTGCGCCGTGCTGCTGTGGAACTCTTCTTCAGCGAGGAAATGCGTCTGCCTTGCTCAAAGGTCGCAGTATATGTAAACAAGCAAGCTCTTCGCATTCGTAGCGATCGCAATTTGCATCTGGATGTGGTCATGCAGCGTACTATTCTGGAGCTGCTGCTCTGCTTTAACCCGTTGTGGCTGCGCCTGGGATTAGAAGTCGTCTTCGGTGAGAAGATTCATTTGAACTCCAATCGCGACATTGTGGGTCTAAGCACCTTCATCCTTAATCGGCTCTTTCGCAACAAATATGAAGAACAAAAGTACAGCAAGGCCTATATGTTGACTGATGAGTATGCAGAGACAATTAAGAGGCACACGTTACAGAAAATGCTCTTTCTGCTGCTCTTCCTAGATCGTGCCAAGCAGCAGCGAATTGTGAAGCACAATCCATGCCTTTTTGTCAAACAGTCTCCTCACAAGGAAACCAAGGACATTCTGTTGCGGTTTTCTTCGGAGCTCTTGGCCAACATTGGAGACATTACGCGTGAATTACGACGCCTAGGATATGTACTGCAACATAAGCAGTGCTTTCTAGATGAGTTCAACTATGCTTTTAACAATCTAGCCATCGATTTACGAGACGGCGTACGCCTAACGCGCGTCATGGAGATAATCCTGCTGCGTGATGATCTCACCAAGCAACTGCGCGTTCCTGCCATCTCCCGGCTGCAGCGAATTTTCAATGTGAAGCTCGCCCTAGGTGCTCTCGGTGCAGCCGACTTTCAGTTGGGTGGCGATATTTCCGCTGCCGATATTGTCGACGGTCATCGGGAGAAGACTTTGTCCCTCCTCTGGCAAATCATCTATAAGTTCCGATCGCCTAAATTCCATGCCGCTGCTCGCACTTTGCAGCAGTGGTGGCGACGACGTTGGCTTCATGTTGTCATTTCTCGTCGCATTCGTCACAAGGAGCAGCAGCGTAAGGAGCGGGCGGCTACTCGCATTCAGGCGCTATTCCGTGGCCACCAGATGCGAAAGTATGTCAAGCTCTATAGAAAAGAGCGAGTCGAGGCTGCCATTGTTTTGCAGAAGTACATGCGCCGCTATCTCGCACAGAAGCAACTTTATCTTGGTTATCGGAGCCTTGTACTTATCCAGCACTGGTGGCGTGCGCAACGGGAGGGCCACGCCCAACGCCAGCAATTCCTACGCATGCGCGCCAGCGTTATATTTCTGCAGCAAATCTGGCGACGTCGTATTTTTGCTAGGAAGCTGTTGGCAACAGCCGCCACAGTTCGGCTCCAACGTGACCAAAAACATCTGGCGGCAGCGGCTTGCATTCAAATGCATTGGCGAGCCTTTCAATTTGGACGGGCCCAGCGGCAAAAGTATCTTCGGGAGCGAGAAGTAATTATAAATGTGCAACAGCGCTGGCGCTCTAAGCGCCTCATGCGACTACAACAATTCCGATATAGGGAGATCAGAGAGGCGGCGCTTACTCTACAACGTTCCTACCGGGCCCGATGTCTTATGCAAAGCCAACGGGCTGATTTTCTCCTACTACGAAGTGTCAGCATAAAAATACAGCGACGGTGGCGTGGATTGCGGCAAATGCGGGTGGAGCATACCCACTTCCTCAGGGTCAGATCATGTGTTGTCCATCTACAACGACGCGTGCGCGCCCGCAACCTTATGAAACAAAAACGAGCACAATTTCAGCGTGAACGTACAGCTGCTATCGTGTTGCAAAATCGTTACCGTGCCCGCCTGGCTATGCGAAGGGAGCGCAATAACTATCAGACACAAGTACAATCCCTCATTCAACTGCAGCGACGCTGGCGTGCCACACTTTGCATGAGACAGCAACACCAATGGTACCTTAAGCTCCGATCAGCTGCCACTACATTGCAGAGAAAATATCGCGCCAATTGCAGGATGCGAACGGATCGTGCCAAATATTTGGAACTACGGTCGGCCGCATTAGTAATCCAAAGACGCTTTCGTGCTCTGCGCTTAGGCCGTCAATTACGTGCTGAGTTCCTGCGTCTGCGTAAGGCAACTCTTACTATACAGGAGCGTTTCAGAGCCTACAAGGCTATGCGGTTTTTGCACGCCAAATATCGCGGCACCAGGGCCGCTGTCACCTGCCTGCAGATGCACTGGCGCAATTACTTGAGGATGAAGCGGGAGCGGAGCCAATACCTGCGCCTACGCTCATCCGCTATTGTGCTACAACGAGCCTATCGTGGGCGCCAACAAATGAAGCAACAGCAGAGCAGTTACCAACACATCCGCGCGTGCATCAGCCAATTGCAACGGCGATGGCGTGCCACGTTGTACATGCGGAAGCAGCAAATGCAATATATGGAAGAACGGCAGCTCATCATTTCGATTCAGCGCCGCTGGAGAGCCAAACTGAAGGCACGTGAGGTGCGGAGAACTTATGGACGTACTATCGCGAGCATTGTGCAGGTGCAGCAACGCTTTCGGGCTACCCTCCAAATGCGGTGCTGCCGTTCCCAGTACGTGCAACAACGGGAGCTCATTATTTCGGTTCAGCGCCGCTATCGCGCTCTGCTGACCATGCGCAGTGAACGCACTGCGTATGAGGAAAAGAGAGAAGCTGCAATTCGCATACAGCGCTGGTATCGCGGTCTTCTTGAAACCCTGCGCCTCAAAAAGAGCTATCAACGCATGCGCTCCAGTGTCCTTCTCTTGCAACGCAAGTTTCGTGCCACTCTCGAGGCGCGTAGAAAGCGACAAACTTATCTACACACTCTATCACGGGTGCGTCTGTTGCAGCGTCGACTACGTGCCACTCTCGCCATGCGCAAGCAACAGTTGCAATTCCAAGGTCAACGCCGGGCGATCATAATTATCCAACAACGTTTTCGTGCTTATCAACAAATGTTAATTGTTCGCAGCCAATATCAATTGCTCATTAAAAATGTAGTTGGGCTGCAGCGCAGATATCGGGCCCGCCGTCTCATGCGGCAAACACGCTCTGATTTCCTGCTCCTGCGTCGGACAACCATCCATCTGCAGCAAAAATATCGTGGTCATCGCATAATGCTGGAACAGCGGGATCACTTCCAGTTGCTTAGACGCTCCACACTGCAGTTTCAAGCACATGTGCGTGGGTATTTGGCACGGGCTCGGTTCCAGGCCCTGATGACGCCCGAAATGGTCGATTGCTTGCGACGGAAGCGAGCTGTCAAAATTATTCAGCGCTATTGGCGAGGATACCGAACACGCAAGCGGCATCGCCACTTGGGGCTGCAAGCCATACGCCAACGAGTTTTACAACTGAGGGCTGAGGCAACAACAATGAATTCTGTGCGTTCCCGAGTTCAGGAGGCAGTGCATTTCTTACGCGGGCGCTTCGTCGCCTCCGAGGCGCTGGCAGTGCTCAGCCGATTAGGTAAGTGCTGTTTATACAAATACACGAAGCAGTATGTGCGAATTGCTTAAAACTCCTGTCCGCACAAGAAATAACATGAACCCAACGGAATCAGCATGTCAAGACCCTTCCAAATCTTAATGTCCGTCTGTGGGGTATCTATCTTAATCACTATTCCTCCCATTGGTTCAGATCTATCGCGATAAAACTTTCCATCGAGGCTTCCTCTGATGAGAACGTTCAAGCCAGATCACGCTTATATCATAAACTCTATACTTTTTCCAGATCGGCTTTCACGCACAGTACCGCACTTGCTTATGTGGTGCTCAGAATTCATGTCCACCTTCTGCTATGGAATAATGGCCCAGGCTATACGTTCCGAGGTGGACAAACAGGTCATCGAGCGGTGTAGTCGAATAATTCTAAATCTGGCCCGTTACAATAGCACAACAGTAAACACATTCCAGGAAGCTGGGCTAGTTACCATAGCCCAGATGCTGTTGCGCTGGTGCGACAAGGATAGTGAGATCTTCAACACGCTCTGCACACTCATCTGGGTCTTTGCGCATTGTCCCAAGAAGCGAAAGGTAGGTTGCCCGAAATACATTGGCAACGCAACAATACAATACAAAACAATTCTTTTACCGCAGATTATACACGACTTCATGACCACCACCGATGCCATTTACATGGTGCGTGAGACCAAGAAACTGGTCTTGCGGAAGGAGAAGATGAAGCAGAATGCCCGCAAGCAGCCAGTGGTGGTCAATAGCCGATATGGACAACAGCAGCAGCAACCAGTCTTTTCGTCACGAGCACTTCCCAGCTTGGAGCCGGACTTTGGCATTATCCGCTACCGTCCCTATACATTTATATCGTCGGTCTATGCCTTCGACACCATACTCTGCAAACTGGGCATTGATATATTCTAGTTGCCGCTAATAGACATAACATCAGTTGAATTCGTACCTTTATTAACTTTATTATCGCGTTTAAATATTAGTTAAGTTGACTTTTGGTTTTGTTTTGTATTAATGTAATTAGTTCTTACGCATATCAGTTAAGTTGACTTTTGGTTTTGTATTAATGTAATTAGTTCATACGCATATTGACTTTGTGATTTTGATTTTGACTAAATTTGTTACGCATGTGGACTCTTTAAATAAAAACTATTGTAAAACATTGTAATATTTAATAAAACCTATTTGTATACAATGTAGTAAAGATAAGGAAGAAACACAGATACGCACAGCTTGTTTTTGAAAAAATGCTGAAATAAAAAATATATATGTATGAATAAAATATAAGATAAAAGGGCTACCAAACTTTTTGAATTCATTTAGATATTTGGTTCGTAATTTAAAACAAGAAAGGAAGGCTAGTCGCGAGGGATCAACTCTTAAATACCGTGTAGCCACTTCCACAAAAAGAAAAGTTTCGTGTACGTGTGCAGTACAGAGTTGAGCCAAATCAGCAACAATAACAACAGATGCGGGCAGACATTAAACTTATAGCTATAACTTGCCTAGCATTTTACCTATCTCGATGACACTTAGTATAAGGACAAATAGAGACGGTTGGGAGCTGTTTCTTGTCGGCTGTGCCGACTGGAATCGGTCGCATATGTCGAAATGGCAGCTGCCGCCTAATAGTACATCTTCAAAAATATGTATGTTGACTTGTGTATTAGTATTAAGTGTTCTGCGTAAGTAGTATAAATTATGGGTTAATACGATGATAATCCTGTTTACATTACTTTTAATATGTATGTTACTTAATATTTATTTGGAATATGCAAGCCAGCCAGAGTCCCATTTAAGAGAGCGCAGCTGCCCCAAGGACAACACTTCCTCAATGGCGCGTTTTGCTAATATTTGCTGAGTGGGGTCTAAGCGGCGGAAGGATGTAGACCAGCTGGTCGCATAAATCTCTGCTTCCTCGGCAGTACAGGGTGGTGGAGTTGGTTGTGCATTTGGTACTGGATTTATACGTATGTTGTTGCCTTTTAGGTGCTGATAAAGTTCCTCGACAGGCGAGCACTGTATTGGCTGATGGTGCATTAAAGCTGGTAATGTCGGTCGTGGTGCAGGATTCACGAGCAGAATTGGTTGTTGATGAGGTACTTGAGATGGAAAGGTTTTTTTCGGCGCCAGATTACTAGATTGTGTGGTTTGCCTAGGGGAATCACTAGCTGATCTAGTATCAGATTGTGACTCACAATCGAACACATGTTCGATATCTTCCCGTGCATCGGGTATTATATCCAGCTCATCATTAGCCAGAAATTCTAATTCGGAGTCTGATGATTGGACTTCCTGATCTTGGCTCGTTATTTCCTCGTTGACTATCTCTGGCGTATCCTCTTCGGAAAGTGAGGCGGGTTTCTCATTCCATTTGTAGGCCTTCGCTCGATCGCTCCATAGAAAGCGCAATTGTTCATAGTACCACAGCGTTGAAGTATACGATTTTCCCTTACGCTTCGCATCCTGCTCTCTCCTCCATTCGCGTCTATGGCTGGAACGTATGCCCAGTAAACGTTGACGGAGACGCACTACATTTGCACCCGGCTCTATTTTCTGATAGTAAGGCAATAGAGCCTTCAATGCACGCTCTCGTAACCGGGTCTCGCCAGAATCATTAAAACGTATGCCCCAGAGTATCGGAAAGGTTTTGTAGGCCTCCACAAATGCGTTCCAATGTGAAGGATCTGATGGTTTTCTTGCTTTCTTCATTTTTGATATTGTTTTTCTCTTTCGAAAAATAAGGTACAGCACGCACAAGTGTATCGTATCGATTGAAGACCAGATATAAACAGAGCACGAAAGTAGCTCGTGAGCTGCTTGCCCTCACGAGTACAGTTGAAAACGGTCGTGTGTGAGAGGCCGGATCGCGAGAGTAAAGAGCGAATGGACAGCATTGGCCTGCGAAATTACGAATACATATGTATGCACCTGTGTGTGTATGTAGGTACACACTTTTGGTGGTGTGTATTCAACATTTCAGTTTCATAACAGGGTTTAATACGTTTTTTACTAACGAGACAACATGCATCACAACGAAAACGTCTCATCGAAATTGTCAGCACAACTCCCATAGCCGTTCGGCTGTACAGCCGAGGCGTACAAATTCCAAAACATTTTTCAATACCAATAATATAAACATTTTTATATATGTATGTATATATAACATCATATTTAATATTGGCTAATTTGCTTTAACTGCTTAACTGTTATTTTAACCAAGAACATAAACTAAATAAAATATTTTTAAATGATATGAAACTTAGCCAAACAAATTCGTTAAGAAATATTCAATCAAAATCATGTTTCATTTACATAAGTACATATGTATCCCAAGTACATCAGGTAAAATCTCAAAACGATATTTAAACTGATGCTCTCAAAGCAGCAAAAGAATATTCGCTCTCAGTACGAATGCGACGGATCTTAGTCGGCTCAGCCGACAAGTAACAGCTTCCATTCGGCTCTTCAGTCGAGCGGCTGGAAAACACGTTCAAATCCTGTTATAAAACTAAAATGTTGAATACAAACATCCAAGTGTACCTAATTACACACACATGTGCACATGTATTCGGAATTTTACAGGCCAATCGTTTCCATACTCTCTTTACTCTTGATGCGGGCTCTCTCACACGAGCGTTTTATGACGGTGCAATAGCTTTGGTTTATGCACCTTGGCCTCATATTAGAGACCCAACTCTTTTCGGCAAGTTTGTTGCACCCCTTATCCGTTATTAGCAGCATCCCTGTCAGCTGCGAAAAAAGTGTACGCGTAGTTTAAAAAGGGTATATTAAGTTTACGCAAATATTGTAACAGGCAGAAGGAAACATCTCCGACCCCATAAAGTATATATATTCTGTATCAGCATGACGAGAGAAATCGATCTAGATATGTCCGTCCGTCCGTTTGACTGGATGAACGCCAGGATTTCAGAAACGGCTGAGCGTACATAAGCCAAACTTGGTATGCAGACGCTCCTAGTCCCAAGTCTATACGAGTTTACTTTTTTGAATTTTCCCCCCATTTCCCCGCTACAGAATTTCGTCAATACCACATTTCAAAACCTACATTAACCGAACTTTGCACACATCTGACTGACTGATTGGTGATCAACGCACAGCCCAAACGGTAAAAGCTAGGCAGCTGAAATTTGGGCTCAAGTATCCTATTATAGTGTAGCTGTGCATTTAGAAGATTTAGGAATATTCGAGCTCCAAAGGGGGGAAACGAGTTCGTTTAAAAAATCCACATTTTTGAAACGATCGACATAAAACGTGGTTTCTAAAAGAGAAAAGAATACAAATAAAACGGCATACTTGGTTTTTTAAATGGGTTTGAAGTTTGAATTATTGGGGTTTTTATATTTCTTCACTTTTTTCAAATGAAAAGTTTGTGTTATTAATGTTGTCTGCTCGATTTCAAATTTGGTAATCAACATATATGTACAAATTGGCATTCAACGATTTTCGAAATATAGAAATATGGGCAAAATCGGTGCTTCTTATTGTTCGTGGTACATCGCTGCACTGCGTGGACACGAGTGTCGTGTTTGATATTCCAATTTCGTGCGTTTTCGTGTTGACTCAATATAGCACAAAAAGACAAGAACGTGAAAATGCGATGGAAAAAAAAACAAGAAAAGAATGCTAAAGTCGAGCAAGCTCAACTCTTAAATACCCTAAAAAACTCTTAAATACTTTACAAAATTAAAAAATGTATATCAATTATTTTTTTAATTAAATTAAATACATGTTCATGAACAGTTTCAACAGCATACATCTACAGAATCGAGTCTCGGCGTGTTTATATACGTGTATGTATGCAACACAAAGTTGAACCCAAGCAGCAACAACAACAACAGCTGCGGGCAGCGCTACAAGCAGAGCATGGGTAGCGATTTTATTTATGGCTATAACTTTCTTCAGAATTGACCTATCGTGATGAAACTTGGCAGACAAACACATAATCACTACCGCGATGTAGTTAAAAAAATAAACTTGACCTGCCTAGGGCTTATGGGAATCTGGATACCGAGTTTGCTTATTCTAGCTCTTGTACCTTCTGAGATCGTTGCGCTCATACAGACAGACGGACGGACATAGCTATATCGGCTCGGCTTGTCACCCTGATCAAGAATATATGTACTTTGTGGGGTCTGCCTCGCCTCCTTCTGTGTGTTACATACATTCGCACAAAACTAGTATAGCCTTTCACTCTTTGGGTACAGGCTATAACAACACGACCAAAATATAATTTAATGTAAGGAAATACTCAAATATTTATTCCATTTTTTTGCAAAAAAGAAATTTGTGTATTCATTCACCGTGCATACGGTTTCGTGATGCCCATCTCTAGCACCTCTGTTGATCGCATATTTACAAGCGATTTACCGTTTGTCTTAAAAGGTTGCGTCAGCTTACAACGCTACAAATGTATTATGAAGAATCCTGGGAGACATTAAGCGTTAAGTTTATTCCATGAATGTATTCTTGGGATTTACAAAAGCAGAAACACGCCATTTACGCTCACAACATTCATATACAAAAAACACATATGCATAAGTGTTGAACTGTACAATTGAATATATACACTTATATGTGTGTACTTGTATATGTATTAGAGTTGGGCACGGGCCGTGTTTTCGGTCGTGGCACTTCGTGCCACGCGTGGGCCCGTGTGTTCGTGTTGCAAAAGGCACGACAAAACACGCAGGAGCAAGCACGAGAAAACACGAATATAACACGAACATAAATTAACAATTAAAGTAATAAAACAAGAGTGAACGCTACAGTCGAGCAAACCTGACAGTGAAAAACCATTACCCAGGTAAACTTCCGGCACTGAGGTATATGCGCCTCTAGCAGAAGCAAAAGGAAGAAGAAGAGCGATCTTGATGCTGCAGCTTGTGGGCGTAGTAGCGAAGTAAAATTGTTTCGCTAATAACTTTTCTTAGAAAGTAGATAATTATATAGAAATTACGTGCAAGGTGCAAAATTTGTTAGGGTAGCTTTTGAAATGTGGACGGTATTGACGAAATTCTGTAGCGGGGGAAAATTCCAAAAAATAAAATAAACTCGTCCTTTCTCGGACCTAAGAGAATATGTATACCAACTTTGGTTATTCTAGCTTTTATAGTTTCTGAGATCCTTGCGTTCATCTAGACGGACGGACAGACGGAAAGACAGACGGACGGACGGACATGTCTAGATCGATTTCTCTCGTCATGCTGATTCAGAATATATATACTTTCTGGGGTCGGAGATGCTTCCTTCTGCATGTTACATACTTTGCACAAACCTAATATACCCTTTTTACCCTACAGGTATAGGGTATAAAAATAGTCAACAAGACTCTGAAATATATAACTATATACATACGTACTGCTGTTGATCCAGGAATTTGTATGTTCAAGAACTGGAAAAAAGCTAAAAAAAAATTTGGAATTGCTAAGGCATATATCAAGACATATACATACATACATAGTCAATATCCCTGACTGCTTTTCAAACAAGTTAGCGAGTTTTTTTCGTTTCTGGAGAAATTTTAAATAGGCGACGAGCTTGGCTTCTTAGCTCAAATATATAATACAAATTTAAAGTGCTTAATATGGATATTTTTTTAGTTTTTACATTTAATGACCCGTTCGTGTTGGGCCGTGCTTAGAAATATTTTCATCGTGCGTGCGCGTGCGAGTTTCCGAATGTTCTTTTCGTGATCGTGTCGTGTCCGGCCGAAAATCGCCGGCCCATGCCCATCTCTAATACTATGTATGTACATGCATCTGACGAAAGATAGCGCCTGCATCAAAAAATAAAATGTACATATGCATGTACATATCACCGTTTCTAGACGTCCCGATTTTTAAATCAAAATTAAATATTTCGCGCGGGACAGGCTCAAAAGCTGTCAAAGTGTAGATGAGCACCAAGAAGTGGTTTTAGAGAATTACTTGTAGAAATCCGATTAGCTTTGAACTTGGCTTATTTACTTATATTTACTCTGAGAAAGAATACAGAATAAACTGCGTTGTATTTTTGTAAGCTTTCATTAAAGAGTAGAAGAAATAATTATGATATACATATATGTATATGTATGCATATAAGTACATACATATAGTATGTGTGTATGCTCATTTAAATGTTGTGCAGTTCCAGAAGTTGACCAAATAACGTTGCCAAATTGTACAGCTTTTAATTCTAGAAATTACTTGCCTTGATTTATCCCTATCATACTAAATACATATGTATGTACATATGTATGTATGCACATATAACCATACATAGTATTTATGGTACTTTATGGCCTAGCTCTCGAATCGTACCAAAGTAATTCGCTATTTGGGAAATTAACTCTTTAGAAACTTTAGATAGTGTCGGAAGAGAAATATCATACTATTTAGTAAAAAAAACGTATAATTGGAAGCACAAATACTGAGCCAGCAAAGACGGTCAAGATCTGCTAGTAAATTATATATAATTATCTACTTTTGTTTCAAATTGTATCTATTATTATAAGAAAAGTTATTAGCGATATTCTGCTAGGGGCGCATATAATTCAGTACCAGAAGTTTGTCTGGAAACATTTTTGGATCATGCGCGTGTGTGTTTCTACAATTCTTTGTAGGACTCGGCGGTACAAGGCATTCAAAAGTTGGGCCTGCTTGACTCCAGCATTCTAGTCTTGTTTATTATTTCATCTACATACTATGTTGTAATATATTGGTTTAGAAATTGACTAACTCTTGAAAATGAGAATAGCAAAACGGCTGGGCTTCAATTAAGTTTGCACAATTTTGCTGTGCTAAAATTCATGTTTATTTAAATATATTCACAAAACAAAATTACAGGTAGTAAAATTAATAATCACTTTGTTAAAACACATACATCGTTACATCGATACATTTGTCATACATCATTTTTCTGATTTAGGTGGTTGTTGTTGGTTGGTTTTAACGAATGCCGCTCCTTGTGCTGCTTGTTTGCTCCTTGCGAGAGTGCCCCATATAATAAGTTATGCCCCATTAAAATGTACATCATATACCATATAGTATGTATAATAGTAGTAAGTATATGTCTATATATATGTATATTTATGTATATTTATGTATATTTAAGTGGATCGAATATGCATACGTACAATATGTTGGTAAATACATATAATTGCACACACCAGCTACTTTTATTTGCCATTACATACATATGTAAATGTTCAATTTTAAAATTGGTATTGCATTTTAAAATTGGTTGTAATATAGGAAGAGCTTAAAAGTTGCTGCAGAACAACACTCAATACGTGATTAATAAAATAAATTAAATAAACTAAAGCCATCAATTGTTGGTTTTCATTGAAGACGAAGGACATGTGCATAGTTTTCAGTTTCTTTCGAAGACGTTTAGATTACTTAGTTATCGTACTTTTGAAATGTTCCTTTATTAACGTGCATTTAGAAAAGACTGCGCTGAGCAACAACAATTTGATTTAATAGTTAAATAATTGCGTCATAAAAGGACCGCACATACAAAGGACACACGGCTGGAGTGTCGCGTTGGCACGGGGTGTGCGTGTGTGTGTGTGCCATTTGTGTGCGCGCCACTGTATCCATACTAAGTATACCGATAAGGGCTTAACGCCGGCCCAGGCCAAAGCCGTACCGGTTGGGCACGGTGCGTCGATCCACCTCATCAATACCCCGCTTTCCTAGGCCAAAACTGTAGGGTCGATTGCGTTTCTCATCTGGAAGAAAGAGTGAAGAATGAATAATATTGAGGGAAGATCGATATGGCATTTACTGCTCAATATAGTTGGATGTTCCTTCTTATACATACGAACTATCCTTGAGGAGTGTTTCCTAAATTTGTGATCAACTCACATTGATCTAGACTTTCAAACAGCTACAATACTATTTTCAACTTGAGGATTAAGTGTTTGTCCTAATTGGAATATATATATACTTGTATTTTTTTCTTAAACATCTATCCACCTATCCAGGCGGTCATCTGTACTAAATTAGGAGTTTCCGGACGGGCATGGCTATATCGACTTGTATTGTCATACTGTTCAAAACTATATATATACAAAGTATAAAAACTAGTATACCACATTACCCTTTCGAAGCAGTGCATAAAATGATCCCAACCTGTCAAAAAGTGAGCCATGCTGGAAGCTCAGTTATGTTCAGAGAATGCATTGCTGACAATATGTCAGTTGAGTTGGTTCCCACCAAGGCCAACATTTGAGAATCCCTAATGATAACCCCTTGCTTTCCGATGACAGTGTATCGGGCATTTTTCAACGTTCGGACTGGAATGATAAGTATTGCAAATACGTAGAAGAAATGCATTTATGCGTAAGCCCAAAACAAGTGTTTCGCTAATAACTTTTCTTAAAATGTACCCTATTCAATGAAATTTGAAACAAAAGTAGATATTTGTATATGGATTACGTGTGCGAAGTTTGTTGTTTTTGACGAAATTCTGTAGCGGAGAGAGAAACTGAAAAAAAAACTCTTGTAGCTTAGGAACTATGCGCTCAACTATTTCGGAAATCCAGCCGATTCGATTTCTCTCGTCATGCTGATCCAGAATATATATATATATATATATCTTATGTAATCAGAGATCCTTACTTCTGCCTGTATCATACTTTGAACAAACCTAATATACCCTTTTTACATCTACCCATAGGAGTACAGGGTATAATTAACTGTTGAAGTTGTGTCCAATACTAATTACTTTTCAAAATCTGCCATTTTAAGAAATCATTTCCTGCTTTCATAATAGAAAAAGTACAGCAAAATGAGTCTGAGGTGAAGATAGATCTGTTTTAATTTACCAGAATTGAAAAGTATTTTTATTTGACTAAATACCGAGCAAATAATGAACTTCCAATTCATTCATGAACTGAATTAAACGAGCAACTTGAGCTCCCGCCCTCTTACCTGCCATATAAGACGCTGGCGCATCGAAAGCAGCCGCATTGTTGTACTCGCTGCCTTCGTCATAGTCGTATTCGGTGCGCTTTCCCAGGCCAAAGGAGTAGGGACGAGAACGCTTTCCCAGTCCAAAGTTGTAGACGGGCAGACGCTTCATGCCGGCTCCGCCATTCGTGTACATGTAGGCGCGCCTGCCCAGCCCGAAGGCGTAGCGTTCGGCGCGTTTGTCGTAGTTGCTGCTTCCGCCGCCTCCACCAGCATTGCTGTCCTCCAGTGCGTCTCCTTCGCTGACCAACAGGGCATTCCCATGGCTGTTGGAGCCTTGAGCGGTGGCTGGCAAGCCGGAGCCACCTTCCCCGTAGGCGGGTGTGCAGCAGACGTAGCTGAGGTAGAAGACCGCCAGCAGCAGAAGCTTTGCTTGCATCGCGTTCATTGCTTGTGTGCTTGGGTGTTGGATGGGGTGGTGAGTGTTGGGTGTTGGGGGCAGCACGTGCTGTTTTGCTGCAAATGGCGGAGGTAAAGAACACACAGAATTGGTAAGCACATTTTGTACTTTTTGTACACCAAGAAGTTAAAGTTATGTATGGGTGAAGGCTAGTATCATCGTCGATGTCATCGTCTCGACTCACGCGTGTCTGTCAGCAAACGCGCATTGCATACTTTACGGCTGACAACTGGCGTTCTAGTTTATTTGGCCGGGCCTTTTTCAGAACAGACAACAAGAATTTCTCACCCACAAATACACACACACACACACGCACACAAAATATGCGGACAGTTACAAATTTTCGCAGCGCTGACATGCGAAAAAGAAAAACCGCCGCACGCTCAAAAATGTGGCCTACCATGTCAGGTGGTGTGTTGAATATGTGTGTGTATGTAGGTATGTGTGTGTGTTTTGTTCGCCCTAAGAATGGGTGCGTGAGCAAATGCTTCGATCAAGTTGTGTTGAGCAACAGAGTGTGGGACAGACACTGTGGGGGCGCTTTTTGGAGCCCTGCCTATAGCCTGTCTCCTTATCAAAGCTCTTCACTATGGTCCCAATCGCCAGCTGAGGAAGTCTCCGATTTGTTAAGCAAGGCGTAAATACTGAGCTTCAAATACTCTGTTGCTCATCAGACTTTGTTAACATTTATTATATTAAACAGAGGGCACCGCATCTTGACGGCCTCTGGGAGACTTTTGGTAGAGCGCCAAGGGTCTTCTGAATCGTACATTGGCAAATTTCAGGTTCGCATTTGAAGAGCTGAGTACCGTGCTTGTTGGGATTGAAGTCATCCTTAATTTGGTCATAAAAATCAGCACTACAAAGCCTATCACTTTCTGATTTCTAATGAATAAAAAAATACTTTAAAAAGCTTAATTTACTGGCATACTACTGACAGAAACGTTCATATACAAATTGCAAAATGCAAAGTATTTACTAGTTTATTTTGTTTTACTCCCTTATCCTGTACACTTAACGAATCAATTAAATAAATTAGCTATAGTTTATGTGTATTTGGGCTTTGAGTCGGATATTTTAAAGAGCACGAGCCGACATTTTTCAAACGAATTGGGTAAAACTTTTAAAGACCACTTTGTAATTTTTACCTTCTTTAAATAATAATAAAAACACACGATTTCGGTTTGAAACAATTACAACTTTTGCTTTTAAAAGTGTACGAACGATTCGAAAATTATTTCCATTTAGCTTATTTTGCTCTACTTTGTTATATGCGTTTTTGATGGCTTAGTGATTAATTCTAATTCCAATTTAGAACAGTCGAAGAGTTACGTGTTACTATTTCTCTTCCTTTCAATTATCACTCCAATTTCAATTATCGTCTCATTTCAGTAAAATAATCGACTATACAGAACGGCAGTTTGATTTGCATAATATATTTCTATTAATTATAAATCATTCATTTTATCCTCGAAATTAATTATCCCTACTTACAAAGTCACATTCTCATTACTCAGCGACATATTCACGCTCCGGAACCATCTCTAATTACGATTGTCCGTTCAGTGACTGCTGGTAAAGCCATAATTTTGGGAAGTCCGTGGAACTTCAATTGCAACAAGTTCAACAAGTTTTCTGCTGACCTTGCAACCTTTTGCGCATTCAACTCGTAAAGAGCTGCGAAATTAGTTTTTGTCACTGTCGTCCTGCCTGACGACTTTGTGTACCTATTGAAGTTTGCTGAGTGCGTGTTCTGCATAGCTTAATCCTCAGCTCGTTGCCGGGCACGAAGTCTCAATTAGGTTTGCCAACTTTACTTTAAAATAAAATAAACTTGAACTCAGTTGATAAGATGTTGCGATGATGGCTCCTTTATGGACAATAAGCGAGCGTTAAATGGCGGCGTGAGGACCTGCCATGTAACCATCAACATTAACTTGCGCGATGCTGTCAATAAAAAGAGCACGCATTGTCATGATTGTCAATGCGAGTGCGCGTAATTGAAAGTACACTTGCACACAAACTCAAACAACCACGCATACACACATCACTATTTGCATTGGGATGCATTTCCGTTTCCGTTGGCGCTGACTAAGCGAGAAAATGAAGACTATGTCTGGGAAGTTACTCTGGTTGTCAGGGTCGTTAGAATTCCGCGCACGTGCGCGCCAAGTGCCGCCGACGAGTGTACTTAGTTGTTAGTTTCGTTACCAGCCACTTGTTTGAGCCAATGCCAATGGTATGCTTTGCTGGAGCTGGTTGCTTGAGGACGAGGGCGTGCTGCCTTCAAACATGACCAGACGAACAATTTTAATTTAACGAAATGCTGCAAGCTGGCAATCTGACCTTGTCTTGCCCGCTTGTGGCTCTTAGCTGGCCATGACTATTGATAAAGTTATAAGCCATTCACCCTGGCGTGCTCGCTTCTCAACATAAAGATACGACAACAGTTGCTGCAATTATTTCAAGCATACGCTCAGGCGCTAAGCATTTTCCAAATATTGCGCATACGCAAGGCTGGCACTTCACAGTGAAAACACTGTGTCTCAATAACAGTATTTGAATAAGTTTGTGCATTCAACAAATAAAATCAAATTTTCATAGTTGATAAGTGCTACACACTTGCAATGGCTAAGGCTATGATATTACAAAAATTAATTCAACTTGGCTCCTATTTTAGGTTTCTGTTATATCAAAAAGGTTAGAGCTTATAGAAGGAAGTTTTCACAATTTATTTCCCAGAAGAATACATTTTTAAAATTAAACTACATAACGTGTCGGATTATCAGAATGAGAACCCGGAAACGAAAAGGTCTGCGGCGAAGCTTCTTTTATGAACTGGAAAGCGCACTTTTTATATGGGGCTGTGCGCATACCGGCTTGGACTAATATAAAAGCGATTTGGGGAAATGCGATCCACAAGTAAACGGAGGTACGACACCAAAAAACAAATTTCTTCTCTTTGAAACTGATAAAGCTGAGCTTTAGATAGATATAGTAAGCGAACGTTGGGTGGAATTAAAAAATAAATATATCAAGTCACTGACAGATAACAGCGACTATAAGTGGGAGGCTGAGGATCCGTAACAGAGCACGTAGACTAATTGCTAGTAGTCATAGAAAGATTAAAAAATTGAACCTGAAATCTTGATACTTTTTGGGAAAGGTAATGTGTGTGTGCTGTTATTCTCAGAATATTTTTTGGTGCAAATAGACTTTTTCGTGATTGTGGCAATACAACATCATTCTGGACGGCCAAAACTCTCCCACAGTGCTTTCGGGCGCTGCCTGTGTCATAAATTGCAGAAGGCGCCTCAAAGTGCAGCCAGCAGTGTCAACAGCAACATCAACAAATCATGCAACAGGTTACAAGTACACGCGCACCGCCAAGCTACACTATCAACATCATGTCTGAGTGGTGTGTGTGCGTGCGTGTGCGTGTCAGTCGCAGCTCGAGCGTTGCAAGGAAGGCCAACGCCATGATTTACAATCATTCACATATGTACATAGCTGCGGCTGGATGTGTTTGTTTTTGTTGCAGGCAGCAGCTGCGCTCTTCCACGCAGGACAATAAAAGTGCCGACCAGCGCGATAATAGGCGGAAAATCGTCACATTTGTTAGACTTTATCAACCGATGGTAGAGACAACAACAAAAACAACATCGGCAACACGACCAATACGAACAACAGGCCACCACGATAACACCGCCCCAATCATAAATCTAAAAAAAAAGTAAAAAGCGGGAAACAACTTTTGTAAGGCCAACACCTTTGGTGCTGGTGCTGGCGCTAACGCTGACGTGCAAAAAATAAATACTTATTTGTCGCAGCCAGGGCATTATTGCAAACAATAAACCTTTCGCTCGGACCCATGGATAGACGCAAATGAGATTTTAACGGAGAGCGACATTATCTGTTTATGAATTTACGCATTTACGCGCTCACACTTTGTGTCTGTTGTTGTCCATTGTTGGCCAACTGGACCAAGTTTGCAAATTGTTGTCATAACTTTTAGCCCTGGGCTTTCTCATATCCGTAGCGGCGATTAGTTTGTCACCTGCCCGCGGGCTAGCAACACGATGCACTCTCCTCCGACCCCCATTATACTAGCCAGCGGAAATTCAAAGGGCGCGCATCAAAGCGCAGCGTTGCTATTTTCTAATTAAGCGGGAAAACTGAAAACTTTGCAGCCAGAAAAGAGCCGAAGAAAAATTCTGCGTTAGATGTCTGGCAAATTGGCTAAGCTGAGAACATAAGCAGGAGCTGCTGGCCAAAGGATATGAGCAAATTTGTAGCCTCACCTTTAATCCTCATTTTGTTGCGCTTGCCAGTGCGAAGGCAAACTGAAAATTGAAAAGGCCACCAGCAGCCAATTCCAGCTAATGCGCTAATATATGAAAGCCACAATTTATAAATATATGTGTTCATATACGAGTAGGTACATATATATATGCATGTATTTATATTGGGGTGCGTAGCCTCAGGTAAAGCTGCGGAAATGAGGCAGAACATTTGGAACGAGGCACGCAATTTGCGAACATATCTTGAATTGGACGCGCAAAAGGTTCTACAGGCAGCAAGTTGCATCCGAACAGATAGAAACACTGTTGTTGGTAATAAAGTTATCCTGGAGATAATGAAGTGGTTTACTTCTTTACCGTTGGTTACCGTAAAAAGTTGCGGTTCACATCGTTGCCAGCTCTGGTCAATTTCTTTGCCTTTCGGTGGGCGGCATGACTTTTTTAGCGAACACGCTTTTCCTGGGGGTCAGGACCTTTTTATCTTTTTACTACATAACTGGCGACACATGTTTTTCTTTAATTTTCCAACCAAATACATGCTTTATGCTTCTATTTAGCTTGAGAACGAAACGGGCAGTGTATTTACGACTGTCGTTCCTACGCCCCCGGGCAGTTGGTGACCCCCAACTACAAACCCTGCCATCAATCAGCAATTGTCTTTGATTTGTTTATTTAATATTTTGGCTTTCGGTTTTTGCGACTGCTGGCGCTGTTGTTATTTATTTAATTGTTATTTGATTGAGGCATGTCTCTGTGCCCTTCTGCCTCATTTTGTCTTCGAATTCTGTGATTTCTAATGCTTTCACTTGACAAGCGACTCCCGCTATCTCCCCTCACATTTGTGTACTACATTGCGTATGTGTGATGTAAATTGGCGGCTTCGGAGGCCGTTCTCCCTTTGTTATTTGGGGCTGGGCTGCAGGCGATTTATATAATCAAGTTTGTTTTGCTACACTTGTGAGAGAAAGTAAATTCAATTTGCGAATTTTTGTTAGATCTTTTGCATTGATATAGGAAGTGTTGGATATTTTTTGAAGTCTTTATAAATTAGATTGAACTCTGTCATTCATTTTCTTATTGACAAATATAAGTACATATGCAAAAAATGTTATTTCGGGTTCTAAATCTGTCATATCTTAAGGTATTTAAATGCGAGTACTTTAAAAAGGATATTGATCATTAAAAGTGCGCTTATTATCACTTCTATCCTACTCATATAATTCGCCCGATTTCTTAAAGTTGTTCATATAAGAGAGTAGGTGTTTGTTTTTTATCACAGATTTTCTTGTGGGTAAATTTGTAACAATCAAGAGGAAGAAGTGTAATCTCGTATCTTATCTGTTCGTTTGTCCTTCTGTGTATTTCAATTCATGGAAACGATATGATTCAAAAATAGTTTTTGTATCAAAAACTTGAATGTTGCCGCGAATGGCATACCAAATGCAAAATAAATAAAAACGCTTTCTAATAAGACATACCTGAACACTGAAGAAAAAAGTATTTGGCTTAAGATACTATATAGTAAAGGGTGTACTCGTATAGTTTTGTCGCAGACGAAGATAACTTTTGAACTCTTTTTATATTTATTTGTTAGTTTTGAATGTAGTGCGTGGATTTTATTTATTGTTCGCTAAATACAATTTTAATAAAGAAAACTGTCTAAAATGTTTTCTAAAATATTTCAAAAGCAATCTGTTTTTTATAGATATTAACAGCTATAAATTTTACTTCACGGGACTCGAATAATCCTAGAGACAGTTTTTAATAAAATAGGGAGCTGGGGTAGAATTACAAGCTTCTATTAGAGATATTCGATAAATTAACATTAAGGTAAGGCAGTTCTTTTAGTTTTCAACTATCAACTTAAGATTATTTAAAATATGCACAATGCTAAAGTCATTGCAATTTTTATGCTAATTCCCGAGGTGCATAAGACTGCTTTAAGTTTTTAAGGCAAATCACTTTTGTTGACATGAAAAAGAGTATATCATGAACCCCAAATTTGTCTCCCAACATTTATTTAGTTTGCGAGAACATGGCCTTAAAATGTTAATGTGAACCCTTGGAGAAACGAAATCACAATGGGAAATTAAAACAATTTAAGCCATACATTCAAAGTAATATTTAGTTTGTTGAATTCATGTGAATAGGGCTAGAAAAATGAAAATCCTTTGACCAATTTTGGTAAAAGTTAATGAGTTCTTTTGGAAAGTGACAAAACTTAAGTTTCACAGTCGGAACTACTTACATCCGAGCACAGACAGCGAATTTGATTTGCAGCTACGAGCAACTGAACAGTGTCTAAAGAACTTTTAAGTAGCGATTCCGGCTTTATTTTCTTATACTTGTATGTATTCAATATTTGGGTTCACAGCACAGTTTTGCACAATTCACGGTGCGGAGAGAGTATTTGTAGTACAGATAGTAAGTCTATGCTAATGCGCTTGTTCCGTCGCCTGCACGTCGACAGACCAAATGTCGGTTAACTTTTGAATCCGCATCCGCCGATGCGTTCGTTCTTATATCGACGCGCGTCTCGGCTAACGCCAACGCCAACTCCGAAAGGTTTGTTGCTGTTTTTGTTGCGCGCAACACCCACAACAAGAGCGGCTGCTACGGCAACAACAACCACAGTCGCAGCGCCATCGACGAGGACGATGACGACAATGCTGTCGTGGTGAGTTTCCCATTTCACCACGACTGTTACTTCACACATTCTTGGCTGCCTGTTGGCCGCCCCGAGGATGTAACAAGTGGCGGTAACTGCGGCTTCTTTGCGTGCGGCAACGACGCGTGGTAATTGCCACACAAATGCAGATGCGAGGTAACAAAATACTTAACGGCTGGTCCGTCAGAAATCGGAGCACTATAATTCAGACTGCTTCTGAGGCAGGCAGGTGCGAAAGCCGCACATGAAATATAAATAATGCTCGAGTTAGAATTAGAAGGAAACAATATTCTATTCTCTGGTAAACCACTACGCGTATGATGGGCTTAATTTGACAAAAGGCGGGGCCCTGGGCCACTGCCTGAGCCACTGCCCCACCCACCCACGCTATATCTGCATATGTGCTCAACAATTTCTCATTTCGTGCGGAATCGAGAAGAAGGTTGCAACGAAAATTGTCAGCTTGGTAAGCACGCATTAGTCAAATGCTCAGAAGGAGCTTCGTCCTGTCCGTCTGCCTGCTTGCCTGGAAGCGCTCAGCTTTCTTTGTCCTCTGTCCACGATTCTCATGCCCTCCAATCGGGGTAGGCAGTCAACTGACAGTTTAAATGACATGCATGCTGTTTGTTCGTTTGCGTTTAGCTTTTCTCCTCTTATTCGTTCCCCATGCTGGCGTGGTCGAGTCCTTTCTCGATATACTTGTATGTGCTGTGTGCAGCCTTTAACTGTAACATTTCAAACGCGACACGCCTTGGAATTTCATGCTGCATGCCAGCATTCATTTCACAATGTCGTCGGCATACTCGTTTTGTTTGTCCTGCGGCCGCATTTGTTGCGCTCCTTTACAAATGTCGTGTCCGCCTCGTTAGAGACGTCATCGCCACGAGTGGCAAAATATTACCTCCACAGCATTTGATGGCAACACTAGATAGCTTCCATCCACATAGTTTTGTGTTCAAAGTTCAATAAAATCAAATTCACGAGTAATTCATACAAATTTCATCTACGCAACAACCACAACAGCAAGGCTTCACGTCTGATAACTTGTTTTGACATTACGTACAAGTATCTAAATATATAGCGTGACTTTGTTGATTCATTAAAGCAATGATCACCAATAGTTCCAATATTACCCACTTAAAACCACTATTAACTGATAATAAATCCTCTTGACAGGAAACATAAAATTCAGGCGAATTGGGTTTGTTGTTTTACCATGACAATTCCGAAAATATTGAGAATTTACGTCAGAAACCATTTCAAATTGTTCTTGGTGAAAGAGAACCCGTGAGTGTTGGGACTCCTGATTCTGCTTTTGCTTTTCATAAATCGACGGGATTTTGAAACAGCTGAGGGAAATAAGACACATTGCCATAAACATTTTTCTAGGCTTTGTACACAGGAACTTTTAATTTCAATGTAATTTCAAAGCAGTTTTGAAGAGATTTGCACTACTTAGATCTTATAAGTGTTTTCAGACTTTTCTGGATTAAATATGGATTAAATATTTTTATTAGGTAACCATTTAATTGAAATAATATTAATACACGTAATAAATAAATTTGAAAAGGTATAATAAGTATATAGTTAGCTTAAATATATAGTTCTTGTAGCGGAATCACTTGTACTCTACATCCGATCAAAGAAAAGGAACTCGGAGGATATCAACCGCCATTGTACAGCGGAAGACTTCATACTTCTATATGGAATTATTGCACTTTTACTTTTTAAACTGAGCTAATAATTGTAGATTTTTTCTGCTCATCATTCCACCTATTCTATCAGATACCAAACATGATATTTTTTTGACAATATTATATTTAAACAATTTATAAAAATGTTTATTTATAGTTGTATAATAAATATACGTTGGAGAGGAACTTTTGTGGACAGATGGACAGATCTGCAGGCGGACATGGCTATATCGACTCATATTGTATTACTGATTAAGAAAATATGAGTAGAGCCCTGAGACGGGCGGACATGTCTATTCGTCTATTCCTTTTAAAATTTGAGTACAGGGTAAATAAATATTATATTTGAAGATATTAATTGATGCCAGCTAGGTAATTAAAACATAATACATAATCTGCATTTATCAGCTTTCATGACAGGAAGAAAAGTAAAAGTAAAGAAAAGTTATGACCCTAAAGAGGAGAACCAAGGAGATGAAAATTCTGCTATAAATGCTCAAACGTTTTAAGGGTTTGGTTAGTTTTCTCCCTGATTTAAGCAGGACAGTGGAATTCTTGATTTTGTGGCAAAAATATGTATGGTGTTATAGAAAAGACCGTTACAAAGTACCCGTAAGTTAAAAGGCATAACTTTTCGTTATTAAGTAAGCCAAGCATATGGCGCCAACGCTTGGCTTTTATCTAATAGTTAAGGTAACTTATAGAGTCATTTGCTTCGGTACATTCCCTATGCCGTTTCGTTGGCTTCGTCTTTACCTAATTCTACACATCGATTCTGTGTAATCGCCCCTCCTCTTATCGACAGCTAACAGCTTCCCCACTGCGAGTCTAGCTGTAAATAGTTTAATTACGTAACAAAATTATCGTTTGCTAATTGAAAATTATTGTGAAAATATTTGTGTAAGCCAGCTCCGGTCCCCGGCCAAAGCTACCAATACAGCTATTGCCGTCTTTATTGGGCTATGTGTGTGACGCTAATTGCCATTCGCTTGCCCCTCGGGTCGTATACACAATATTGTTTGAAACGGCTGGGAGCAGGAAAATAGTTCAGATGCTGTGGCGAAAAATCATTACGAAAATCGAAGTCGCAATGAGATTTGTGGTGTAATTGTTATTTGCACACACAAATATGTTTATGGAACTCAATTCAGCCGAAGGATGACGTCAGTGAAGTTCAGTATAAAAGAAACCACAAACTAACAAGCATTGTTCATATCGGCTTAATGACGTTTCTATAGCATACGTAGTAGTAGAGCCACTTTAGAGTATACGTTTAGAACATACTCGTAGCTTTAAAAGCAAGACCAATTGATTCCGATCCAACAATTAGTGCATTCTTAGAATGTGGGCTACAAATGTCACAGTGCTTGACTCTAACATGAAATACGGGCATAAAAGTTACATACATAAGTGCATATTTAAGTTTATTGTTATTTTTCATTGCTTAGTAACATTGGAATCGGGTGTGCATGTGTGTATGTGGGTGGAAAAGTTTACATACTCGTATATCCACTTAAGCAACTCCTGATCAAGAATATACAGTCATACAGTCATACTTATTTAACACTTATCTTATATTTCTAGTACTAGAATATTAAAAACCTTCATGCATTTTTAGTATACAGCTACAGCAAGTTCTTTATTTCCATGAAATTCTGCATATTTATGAAAACAAAACTACTTATAATTTCAATCGATTTTGTATATTAATAATAATTAAAATCTATACAGGTAAAAGGATATACAACATAGTTAGGTGCGAGTGTGTGTTACACCAAGGAAGACGTGTGAGAGTCTTTATGTATATACATATTCTTGATAAGTACAGCCAGAATGCATTCTTTGCACTCTTTTACCTTTTCGGAAAAATGGGTTTGCCGACGAAAGGAAAGCGTTATGCAAACGTAGAAGCCATCTCAGCCATCCTGAACGCCATCTCAGCCAACGAGCTAAAACACTCGATTGACATGCAAATCACTGTATGGAGTCCAAAGGCACTATATTTAAAAAGTAAAATTTATTTATTTTAGTTTATTTTAATTTTATAAAGTCCTGTTTGCTTTGTAGCATACCTTCTACTATATAATATGATCGGGAGAATAAATATAAGGTCTAATGTCATTGCGAGAGTCCGGCCTAGAATCTGGAAAGGAGCGGCAATGACGTATTCGGCTCCGGGATGATGCACACAGAGCTCTTATAGTCTGAAAGAAATTAAAGAGCGCATTAAGGATATCAGTTTTTTTGTGCGTTTTGTTTTCTTATATTTTATGTAGTCATGCCTCTCGTATATAAAGAAAATATACTATTTTTGTAGCTACACCTAAAGAAAACTCCAAGATATTAACACTCAATGTAGACTTTTCAAACGCTTCAGCAGCTAGGAGCGTTGAAAATGCATGCGACCTTGTGGAAATTGATCAAACAATTTTGCTCACTCTTTCAATGATGCACTCAAAAAAATGTCTGATTTCCTATAACGCACGTAAATCTACAAGTAGGACTTGCCAATTACAACAGGTTGGTGCTTCATTTTGGTAAGTCGATTGTAGAGACATTTATACCCATTAATGTAATTTCTGCTCAATCTGTGCCAGCAGGTGTTGTTTTTGTGGCTGCTTTGGCTAAACTCTGCACTGCACACATAATCACACACGGACACTCATAGACACAAGGCCGATGTAAATTAATTCTATTGACACAGAACATAAGCATAAGTATGTCTCCAGTTAGGTATTGGATAATTATTATTTAATTAAATTATTTAAATAAATTTAAAAAATTAATTAATTAAGAGTTTGGTCCGCCTGACTGGCATTCCGATCTGGTTTTCCAATCTAGGCCGAACAAAGGAGTTTCTTCTGTTACTGTTTGAGTGGCAGGCGTCTCAATCAATCAGTACAAGCAGTTACCGAAAATAGAAAATATTTTAAATTATGACTGCGAATTAGGGGAATTAATGGTACTAAGTAGTTCATTCAAGCTTAGGTCTTTTAAATACAGTGAAACCTCTCTTGGCCGGAAATTCATCGTCGACCAACTTTTGTCCGGCGAAGGGGGGTATCCGGTTAAAAGGAAATTTTTTTTTCCAAAAGAGGCTTTAGTTCGAATGTGTCGAAAAATAGTATGAAAAATATTGTGCGCACAAGAGAGTTGAACTTGCTCTCAAAAGTACACCAAAACGAACGTTCTAGAACAAGAGTCCGTCTAAGATGGGTGTCCGGTTAAAAGAGGTGTCTATTAGGGGAGTTTTCACTGCATGTTTTTTAAAGTTATTTGGTATTGGATATAGCCAAGGAGAAACGGGCGCTTGGTCTTCTATCGTCCGAAGCATTAGTCATGCATTCCTGTGAAATTGCTGGCAGGCAGATCAATTAGGCAAGAATACAGGAAACGACAATTATCCACCTGTTTTCGCAATCCGGTATTTACTAACACACATTGTATTTTTTTTAAACATACATATTGCGTGAATCATATTTGCGCGTGCTGTGCGCTGAGGCGCAGGAAGCCTTGCTGTCCCACTCGCAATCGGATCGAAATCTGAAGGTCCACGTGGGCGTTTCTCCCCACAGCACAGCACATATGTTTCGATGGCGTTCCTGCATTGGCAATCGATCATAAATCTTTGCTGATAACAAAGTCGCCAAAAAAGGCAAATAAGAACGGAACATCATGACGTCGAACAGAGCATGCACAACATGCGGACAGGCCATAATGATTTGTTGATGGCCAACGTGTGTAAAGCGTGACAACAACAACAATAACAAAAGCACAAACAGGCAACTTATCATACCCAGATATCCATATCCAAATATACATACATAGTATATGAACGTATGGATAATACATATAGTATGTAGGATTGTTTGTACGTGATGGCAGCGTCACACACCGGAACAGGTTCATAAATTTCCCAGTGGTCTAAGCCGCAGCCACACTTATTAGGCGGAGGTGACGACGATGACTTCGAAGGCGAGGCCGTGGCCAAGTTGACCAAAAATTTGCAATTCGCTTGCAAGCCGCATGGCTCATGTCGCGGTGAGCACAGCTGTCGCTTGTTGGGCTGCCTGTGGCATATGTTCAACTTTGTTGTGCCTGTCAGCAAATGGAGGATATCAAACGTGGCTATCTAATGGCAGCAGAAACGAGTGTGCGGCACTCAAGTTATTTCAATTTAGTGTTCCAGAAGACAAGTTCAGCTATAAATCATCATCAGCGCAGCACCGGCGCAGTGCACGGCTGAAACCTCCACAGCCGGCTAGTCAGCCAACCAACCAACGAACCAACCAGTTTAGCCCACACCTACTCCAACACACACACACACACTCACACACACACACACATACACACACATATGTATATAGTATATGCAGCCCGCAAAGCTTCCCACCAAAAATGCATAAGCAGAAACATAAAAATCACCAAAGAAAACATTTTTGTTGTAGTGGTGTGGCAGAAGAAAAAAATGAAACAAAAATGAAGACGTAGAAGAAGAAAAAATACACCAGCAAAAGCAAAAAATGAAAATCACGATTTTTATGCAGGTTTTCGGAGATTTTTCCCACAACAAGTTTTCCGTGGATTTTAATTGATTCTGCGCATGAGAAAAAAGCAGCGCCATGCAATGCACTTGAGGCTGCCACTGTCGTCGATGCAACCACAATCCAGATGAACTTATGTAGCATTAGATATTGGCAACAAGCCGCAGCAACAAGGGAAACACAAATCCAACATGTGAACAATTGTAAGCGAGTATAAATAAATTTATAATTAGAATAAAGCATGGAGCACAGCAAAGGCAAAGGTGGCCGCTGACCAAGCGTCGATAGACGCCGCAGACCCACACACACATATGCCCCACGACTCACAAGCACAAATTACAGTAGTCGGCAAATGTTACTTAACACGTGAAAAAGAAACCCTTTGCAATATTCCCTGAAATGTTTGCACCATTCGAAAATGGCAGCACTGTAGATAGATTACGTAATAAATAATGGATTCTAATTTGATTTTGGTTTTCGCAATGAAAGAAACTTAAGTAATTTGGAGGTTAATCAGTTTCAGTTTCAATATATTGTAAAAGTTCCTTATGTACTTGTAATAAGAAACCATATTAAGCATTTAATAATGAAAAACAACTTTTAGGATCGTTATGCTAGAATTATATTGGAGGTACTTTATTGGTGTGTAAGCATTACATTACTACTAAGTTACAAGTATTAGAGATTGAGTTAAGCTTAGAAAAATAAAATGTGATACAAGGAAATCATTATAGCCTGTACCCAAAGGGTGAAAGGCTATACTAGTTTTGTGCGCATGTATGTAACACACAGAAGGAGGCATGGCAGATACCCACAAAGTATATATATTATTGATCAGGATGGCAAGACAAGTCGATATAGCTATGTCCGTCTGTCCGTCCGTCTGTCTGTATGAGCGCAACGATCTCATCAAGAGCAAGAGCAAGAATAACCAAACTTGGTATCTCTAAGTTATTAGAGAGTGAGTTAAGCTTAGAAATATAAAATGCGATACAAGGAAATCATTATAGCCTGTACATTCGTGCGAATGTATGTAACAGGCAGAAGGAGGTGTGGCAGACTCCACAAAGTGTATGTATATATTACTGATCAGGGTGACAAGCCGAGTCGATATAGCCATGTCCGTCCGTCCGTCCGTCTGTCCGTCTGTATGAGCGCAAGGATCTAAAAAGGTACAAGAGCTAGAATTACCAAACTTGGTATCCAGGTTCCCCTAAGCCCTAGGCAGGTAAATTTTTTTTTTATTCTGATGCACCCCCCACTCTCAGGCAATTCGTGTTTTTTTCCATAACTCTCGTAATTCTTGGAATATCGAACTAAAATGTGGTAACTACATATCGTTAGTGATTATGTGTATGTATGCCAAATGATCATGATAGGTCAATTCTGAAGAAAGTTATAGAAATAAATAGAATCGGTGCCGCTGTCCGCAGCTGTTGTTGTTATTGCTGCTTTGGTTCAGCTTTGTGCTACATACATACATATGTACATACACGCATATAAGCACGCAGTGTCACGATACTGATGTAAATGTATGCTGTTAAAACTGCACATGAACATGTCCTTAATTTAATTAAATAATTTAATAAATATAATTTTTTTAAAATTAATTTTATAAAATTTAATTTTTCCTTTTTTTCTTTTTGGTGGGAGGTACAGGGTATTTAAGACTTTAAAATTCCTTTCTTGTTTTTAAAATTCTTAAATAAACAAGTAAAAAAGCTAAAGTCGGGTGTCCCGACTTTGAAATACTCTGTACATATGTTTACAATAATTATAGAAAATAAAAAAATTAAGAAAATAAAAAAAAAAATTTGATCGATTTTACCTCTCTCGGTATTCGAACATAGCAATTGCGTCTGTGTGAGTGTATGTATGCCTATGCGCATCAATTCGTGTATGTGTAAGCATTTTCGCAGTCAACCAAACAGCAACATCAACAACAGCCGCGGGCAGCGCTTGAGCAGCGCTGCATCAGCAAATATATTTATGGCTATAACTTCTTGTTAAATAACCAATTGGGGGTATTTCCAAAATTTTAGTACGAAATTCCAAGAATTACGGGAGTTACGATTTGCGGGGTAGAGGGGGGAGGGAGGGGAATTCCAAAATATACATTTTCTGCGTATTCACATAAGGCATCTGGGACTAAAATTTGGTGTTCTTAGGTCTTATAGTCTCCGAGATATAGGCGATTATACGAATGGAAAATCGGGAAACCCCCATAGGGGGGAAGTGGGGGGGAAAATCAAAAAAATAAAACAAACTCGTATAGAATACACACATAAAGCATCTTTGTGCAAAATTTGGTGTCTCTATCTCTTATAGTCTCTGAGATCCAGGTGTTCATACGGACGGACAGACGGACAGACAGACAGACAGGGCTAGATCGACTCGTCTCGTCATGCTGATCAAGAATATATATACTTTGTGGGGTCTGCCACGCCTCCTTCTGCCTGTTACATTTTTCAGCTCCCGCAAACCTAATATACTCTTGTACATTTCATGTACAGAGTATAAAAACCGGTTATACATTTTATTTAATCGAGCTCCTATTATTATGTATAACCCTGATTATACGGGATTCCATTAGCATAATTATTTTTTGAATGATTATTCGCATAATTTTAGCTCATTTCAGGCTACTATAGCTTATTTGAGAGATTTAAAATCTTAAACTGCATTCCATTCCCTTATTTGAGAGAACCCCTAAAGGTTTTTAATTAGATTTATATCTGGGTTTTGAAAAATACAAAAATCCTCCTTGGTAGAAAAACAAGATGTGCGGGGAAAAATAAATTTAGTAGTTATTTCAAGAATTTATGAACTTAATCTAACAATTGGCACACGACGTGTAAAAATAACTTCAAGCTCATCGGAATTTGTTTCATATCAAACAAAAAAGGGGGCTAAACTATCAAATTTTCTGTACCTACCTTAAGAACAGAAAAAAATTGTTTATTTTTTGAGTTAATTGCTAAATTAGATTAAATAAATAAGTTTAATTAAATCAAATATACAACTAAAATGAAAATTCCCTTAATGGGCCCCTCTTTTATCCGGACGCTCTCTTCTAAAACATTCGATTGGTGTATAAAGTATTTAAGTATCCCCTTTCACTGTATATCTATCTATATAATCTATATCTATCTATACTATATATAATACTTCCTGATAAATCAGTGCATTCTTAAGAATTCTGGATGTGATTTAGCGTTAATTTCAGTCTTTGAATGTATTATTGCAATCTACAAAAGCAGAAACACATTTTTAACAATCAGAACGGTGCTATTTCATATTGCATTAGGGCATAAATTGTTCTTGAAAAATTGGAATAAGAAAACTAATATTTGAATGTATTTGCAATCAACGCACAGTCCAAATGGTAAGCGAGAAGAATTTTGTAGCATACCACAAAAGTCTCCTCAATTTTGAATTAACTCATAAACAGTCTTTAATATGCAACCTGGCATCAATTATACAGGTCAAGGAACGCATCTGTACTTAATCTTTTACACTGCATATGACAATATCTTCCATAAGCAGACTTTTCGTAATGTAGCTCTTAGCAGGAAATTTGTAAAACCTTACAGCTTTTCTTTTCTGCACAAATGTGGAGGCACAATCGTTAGTGACGTCATTCCCTGTACTGCAGCTTTTAAATGTGTATTTCAATTCGTCATTCACAAACCTTAAAATATATACATAATCTTACTACTTATGTAGACACATGTTTATACAAGTATCATAGCCATATATTCGTACATTTATATTAGGTTTGTCAAAATACAAATGACGATTAGTGTCTCTGTACGTACGGTTATGTGAATCTATAGTAAGCACGTATAGTACATACATACCTACTCGTGCTTATATGCACGTGTAGATGTGTGTGAGGCAGAAAGTCGGCAAAGAATGTTGTTCGTCGCGACGCTAGCGCTCCGGCATTGCCGGTTCGGCTTCTTGTTTGGTTCTCCAAGACCCCAAGTGACTGAGTAACTCAGTGACACACTTTTTGGCAGCTTGGACACTAAAGACAGCACTGATTATGGCCAAGAAGTCGAGTATTTGTGAGAAGCGCAGCGCGTTCTCCATTCTACGCCTCGCTGCATTAAAATTTCTTTTTCGCTTTCTTTTCGAACTCTCCAAAGCTCAACACTTACACTCTCTGTATGCTCACTGCTCACTGCTCTCCGTCTCTCTTCTGCTGGCAACGATAAGAGCGCGCTTCGTTCTCGGCTGACGCTGCTGCCACCCACTTCATACTGTACGTTGATATGAGAGTGTGTGAGTCTGTTTGCGTATGTGTATATGGGTCAGATTGAAGTTCTTGGAGAAAACTGGTAGTACAACTCGTTGGCTAGTTGGCAAGCAAAATGGTCGAAAGTGATTTGCCCACTTGATCGAAAGCGAATGCTATGCCAGCGTCGTCGTGCCCGTCGCTGTTGGCAGCGCTTTGACTGCGCGCTGTTTCTGTTTATGTCATGCATTCTAAACTGGGTTTTCGTTGTTATAGAAACGCCGCCTAAAATTGAGGTCAGGTTCAGCTGTGGATTGTTTTTACGGGACGGAACCCAAATCAATCTTTACGATCCATTTCGCCTATTGGCCTTTCAGTTTTCGGGTTTTCCTGCCGTTTCATCTTCTAGCACATAGAGCTGTGCAAATATGTATGTAAGTACAAGTTGCGTGACAACCTCTACGGACGGCTACAGAGCGTATGTGTAATATGCGAAGTGCATGGCGCAGTTGGCACAAAAGCAGCGACACAAGCAACAACAACAATAGCCAGAGCGGTAAACGTTGCGCTGCGTGATTAAAGTCGCGCACTTGTTTGCTTTTTAGCTTATTTGCATTTTAATTATGTAAATGAAAGGCAGCCGACGTCGCAACAGACAGACTAAAAAGCAACAGACAGACAACACTGTTTTTTTTTTTTCTCAAATAAGTGTTTTTTTTTTGTTTTTAAACTTTTGCTGCTCTGCCCAGAGGTGAATGAAACCTGACGAATGCCAGCAATAACAGCAAAAGCAGCAACAGGTGAGCACTGCAGTGGTGGGAGCGGCGACGACAACAAGTTAGTGATTTTCACCCAGCGGCAACAACAATAACATAGCATTGGCTAGTGCATTGAAATATTGTGGAGCGTGCGCTTGGAATTTGCAAATTGTTGTAAACAAAAACAAAAGCAAAAAGCATTCAAAAGAAAAAGCAATACAAATTACCGCTTCACAAAAGGCAGAGCAGCTCGAGCAACGAAGAAGAAGAAGTAGCAGAATAAGGCGAGGTTGCTGACTGCAAAAGATTACACAAGCGTAGCGTCAGCGCCTGCGTCGGCATCGTTAACGACGAGCAACACAATATTACAGAAAGAGAGGAGGGCGGGACGCTGACATTAGAAGCGCCAACAACAACAACGTCAACAGCAGTGCAATCAAGAAAGCTCACGGCCGAAGCTTGCTCAGTAACCGACGACGTCAGAGCCGCAACAGCAACAACAACAGCATCCATGCCCACGATCGACAACATCAGCAGCTGCAGAGTGTAGAGAAATTTATCATTTCACTGTGGCAGCAACAACAACAGAAACAACAATAACTACCACTATAACAGCACTCATGGCAAGCTCCACTGCGTCGGCAGCAAGTTTTATGTCTCTCTTTGGAGCTCCCACGAGCAGCACTCGCTCCAGCGGCGCTCACGTCTTACGTACGCCGCTCTCTTGTGCTCTCAACTCTCCATGCATATGCTCCATGTACTGTAACTGGGGGCTGCTCATCGTCGGCAGTCTTCTGCGATCGGCGACGCCATCGTTGACGTCGTCGCTGCCGTCGTCGTTGCTTGCCAGCCACAAAAACAACACCAAAGTTTTTCGAAATTAGTTCTAGTGAGTCTGTGAAAGTGTGAGCGACTGTGACTATCGGGCTTGCAAGCGACGTTGAGTTTTGTGTGGTGCCAGACAGAAAAGTTTCGCTGCTCCCGCTGATCATCCTAATCATTGAATCATCTGTTCAGCTAATCTAAGCGTGCAACCATTTTAAACGAATCCCAAGATACTGAAACACAAATAAACTAATCAACCGAAACGGGGAGGCTGGAAAGTTTTAAACTACTTACGTGTATCAAATCGATCAACAACAACAAGAATATGTCACATCAGTGCAGCTGTGGTCGGGATCTGAACAACAATTATGTGTCGTACACAAGCGCATACGCCAACAACGCCAATGCGGGCCTGGATCGGGACGCCAACGCCACGCTCTCCAGCGGAAAGTCCAGCACCACACAGCTGACGGCCAAAGTGATGTTCGGCACAGTGGGTGCCATCAAGGAACTGCGCGAGAAGGAGCAGACCCGGCATGCGGCGACACGTGCGGGCGAACGACGCAATTGAGACGCAACAGCTCCTTCCTGCGCAAGGGCGTGGCAGCAGCAGCAGCAACAACAACAACAACAGCAACCTGTGTCGTCTCTCTCTCTCTGCCGTGCAGGATTTTCTCTTGTGCTCCAGCAGCCTGGACAGAGCAGCAGGTGCAGACGCAGAGGCGGGCTGGACTGCAGGCTGTACGACTCATGTTAGAGGCTTCAAAAGTGTTTAGGGTGGGCGTTAAATAGGCGTTTAATGTTTTGCATGTGTTATGTGTTTGTGCGACAACATCAACAACAAAAACCACATTCCGTTAAAAGAACCATTGAAGAAAAAACTTACAAGAATATGTCACGTGAAATTGTTGAACACACACACACACACACATAACGTATACAGAGGGGCACAAACACTCACGCATTCAGACATTTGCGCTGTCGCCTCTTCACTTCTTCCCCCACTTCATCAACACTTCCACCATTCTCTTGCTTCATTCTTAATGCTGTAGACTAGACTTTAGACCATAGGTGTGCATGTCTGCTGCGCTTTCCCATTTTCCGCACAATTTTTCATAGCGTGCAAAAAGTTAACAGTTGCCAGCTGCCAATTAGAAGTTAGCGAGCGCAAAACTTTTTTGTCTTTTCCTTAAATTCAATTTGAAATGCAAATACACACACGCACACATAGCTACTTATATTTTTGGGTATCCATTTCAATCTTTAACTCTGTATAACACTTTTTCAATTACCCTCCTTCAACTCCTATCTCAAGATGTAATCACAAGGGCTTTTGGTTGTTAAAATGTAAGCAACTCCTATGTGGAAAATGTTTATTTTTATGAATTTTGTATACCCATGTAAATTGTTAATCATATTTATATACATATATATATATATAGTGCAATACTTTAGCTGTACACACGCAGACACACACACACATGCAGTTGCATAGCTTTAAGTTTGTTTTATTTTTAAGCGCGACTCAAACATTTTACAGTTTTTTACATGCTTTTGAGCTTTGCCTTTGTTTTTTCGGGTCTGTTTCTGCTTCTGGAGATTTCCAGTGGCTGCAGCTCAAAATGCAAAGCACGTAGCGTGAATACGCACACACAGACGTACATATGTACATACATACATTAACACTTATACATACATACATACATACAAACATAAGTGTAAAAAGTTTTGATAACCATATTGTATGCTTGTAGGCTATTGTTCCTGTGACAAAAACTGCAACGCGAAACGGTTTCATGTTTACACAAGTGATTATTTTTGTACTAAAATGGAAACAATCGCAACAAAACGATACGAGAAGCTCAAACTGAAGCTGCAAAAGGCGAATCAATTGTTTCAACTAATGACAATGAACTTCTCCACACTCACATACACAAACACACACACGCACTTTCTCGTTAAACTTATTGCCAAGCTTTAGATCTTAGCTTAAACTTTAAAACTCAAACAAAAACGTAACTACAAACTGAAAACTGAAAAACCTTCTTTAATGCATATATACATACATAGCGTAAGCCTAACATACATACATACCTACAATTAAAATGCAAATAAAATCAATTTTTACTCAATAACTGCGTAACTTAATTTATATGGATTTCAATTAGCCACAAACAATTGAAGTCAAACTTCTCAAAGGCAAAGGTTCGACCTGAAATCGGAATAGAGTGGGCGGAGTTGGGGAAACCCTTTCAATTGTGTGAAAGTCAGCGAGCACCGAATTGAAATGAAAATAAATTAAAAACCGCTTTAAAAAGAAAAGATGCGAAACGAAAGCAAAGTCTGGGTCTGGGTCTGCTGTATAATTTTAAAAAATTCTTTTTTTTTGCTGTTCTTATTACTTTTGTTGTTTCGTTTGCTTTAAAAAAAACACACATCTCCCGCGCTCACCGTTTCTAATTGTCACAGCAGCTTGCTGTCAGTGTTGCACTTTTTAAGCCATAAAAAAGCTAGATCAGTCATTAAAAGAAGTTAGAGATAACCAAATACATTAAAATTTATGAAAACTATTACAACACATTTATATATTATTATGTATTTGATATTTTAAGCCGATATCTTCACAGGTAAAAATATTTTAGATAAGACTTATTTTAAGACACTTTATTTTAATGACTGATAAATGAGTGTGATCTCTGCATTATAAATTCTTCTTAGCACAATGACAAGTAATATATTTTTGGATATTTTATTTATAAATCTCGCCAGCATCAGTTAACGATTATGCCTGAAATCGGCTTTTTGTAAAACTCTAGAACTGTCGGAAAAATAGTTAAATGAGCAACACCGCTTGCGGTTTGGGTCTGCCTCAGTGCCAGATAGGTAGAGTGAGAGTGTATCTGTGAGAGTATGATTGTTCTTACGTTTGTAACAGTGACCCAGTCTCTGTGTACGCTGTTGCTGTCGTCATTAGGGGAGCAGAGAGGCAGACTTAACAGTAGTGGAAGAAACGTTCAATTTCGTTTAACATCAGCTTAGCTCATGTTCTGCTCTCTCTCTCTCTCTCTCTTTGTTTGCTTTCGGGCGCTTTCGGATCAAAGTCACATACGCTGTTGTTGGTGTTGTTCTTCTATTTTTGGAGGGCGCTCACAGTTCAATTGAATTCAATTGCCCAGTGCGTGCCTCTTGTCAAGCAAATTTATTTGCTTACGTATACTTAATTAAAGAACCGAATACGTAATGCAACGCCTACCAAGATAACGGTGCAGTTGCAGTTGCACTTGTAGCGTGACCGTGATATGCCGACCCGTTGCCGTTGAACAGAACAAACCGAATGAACGCTATCATGTTCGTTAACTCACTTGGAAACATCTACAGGCGCGGGTGAATAGTAAGCAGATACTTATAAAATGGTAACCTCTATTTATTATAACACAAATAGTATATATTTTTTATAATATCATACCATAACATCCAGAGGGAGCCGTGGTAAGCCACACAAAGTATATACATACATTCTATATTAAGATCTCCAATCTTTCCTAAGCCCAGGTTTATATTTCTTTTCAATGCACCCCGCACTTAAACGTTTATCGATCGCAAACTACAATCACATTCCTTTGATGCCAACTTGTCCGTATATCAAGTTATATCTGACAAGCATCATTTTTATAGAATTTGTAGCCATGATTGCAGTCTCGGTGCATTCTCTGCGGCAACAGCTATGTTGTTGCAGGAGCGTATTGGTTGTGGTAGTATTTTGTTTTTTAGAATACCTTATTATAAGTAGAAAAAAATTTCGTTGACATCGTTGTATTATATAATATAGCTGTCATAGGAACGATTTGTACAACACAGTTTGTTCCCATTAAAATACTGGAGAAAGGAGGTAGATACAGGGTATACAAGATTGATTAATAAACACTTTAAAGAATTTAAAATAAACGAGTCGGATGCGCGCCAGGTAAGTGGCTTTCACACAGTTACTGTTTTTGATCAGGATCTGGGAAAGTATAAGATTCCCCAGACTCCCCAGACTTGGTATTCACACTCTCATAAGTCCTAGGTCGGATATGTTTGTGTTTTTCTCTATGCAGTCTTTATGTGTCCTTATGTTAGGTTATAGTAATAACAATGGGTCAACTCCTACGGAAATTATACAAATGTATGCAAATTTTATGAAAACGTTCATCAATGGATGTATGTACTTTATACATCGGCGGTATATATTTTAATTGCATTTCATTTATTTTAATAAGACACTTTAATAAAACAATTCAAAACATTTTTTGGCCAGAATAGACGGGAATTCCCCCTTCAACCAAACCGTTTTAAATGAAAAACCGCGGCCGTTAAAATAGTTGATGTTGTATAAAGGGACTGAAATGGTGAATAAAAGCTACTGGAGCTACTAATAGAAGAATGGTAAGAAATCGTGAGTCTATTAGTTATTCTGTTAGTTCATCGTACCCAAAATCTTTGAGAATGTATTATCCTCCCCTACAAGAGATTCTGGCCAGGCTCATGGTATATATCCTCGCATATGTAAAGATTACGGACTCAAAGCCGGACTTTCGGATAAGTAAGGCATGCGATTGAAGTTCCGGTCCATCTGCCTATATAGCATATCAATGCTAAGTGCCGCGACTCTCTAGAATCTAGCTCTGCCAGATTGCTCGCCATAAGCCCACCGGTCGGTTGCCAAGCACAAACGTAACGAGCATACATAAACAACTTAATTTATGAGGTGCAATTTTTACGGCCACTTCCACCACCCGCCGATCGCCGAACCCCGACTCCGGCCACCATTGTCGATAGCTGGCTAAGAGTAAAAGCGTCTTGCGCGCTGGACAACATTTTTGTTGGATCTTTTATATTGTTGGTGTATGTGCGTGTGTGAGTGTATTTTGTGCTGTTGATTTTTTCACTTTTTCTTGCATGCAAGAACTTTCTCTTCTAATTGAAAGCAGTTCGATGGGGCGGGCGATAAGCGAACAGTGGGCAGAGCCGGCGGCAGTGGCAGTGGCAGCGGCATCGCCAGCTAAGTAAGTATCCAGTCCCGCCATAGTTGCTCGAACCTCCAACCTCGATCATCGAGTGGTTGTGAATAGTGAGTGGAAGAATGAAGAATGAATGAATGAGGAACGATGACGGGAATGTTATTCAGCTCCGGGGCATTTTATCGCGACTACATAGCCACGGTTCAATTCAAATACGAAATCACCAACAAAAAAGTCACAGCTTGTTTGCAGAGATAAGAGGAGACCACAAATAAGTAATAAATATTTAAAAGTTTATATGAAAAAAAAAAAAAAAACGGAGACTACCAGACATTGAATGAAAGCCAGCAGCCGCACCGAGAACTGGTCGCTAGCCTGGAAGTATTCGTTGTAATTTTGTTTTTTTTTTATTTGGTGAGCAACTCTTCCGAGACCGCTACGACGAGCGATCGTGGAAGCTGTGGCATGGCTCAGAGCCTCAAGTCTCGGCGTCTGCGTCTGCGCTGGTGTTTCTTTTAGCTTCTAATGGCAGCTGTAAGGTGAGAATCGATTTAGTTCGGTTTACGGCGATCAGAGATACAAACGCGAAAAAGTTTCTATTTGGTGAGTGCGCGACCTGCGTAGAAAAGTGAAAAAGTTCGAGTTTGAGGGACAATTCGGATTCGGGCTCGGACTCAGACTCAGACTCGAAGTGGCAACACAACAAGCCACAGATTGCAACTACAAGTACATCTGGAAAAACACACACTGACCCACGCCATCCATTTAGGTCTGTGATAGTGAGTGTTTTATTGGACCGATTGATGTGGATGCCGACGCCAAATTGCAGCTGGCTATAATTAATTCATTTGCCTGCAATTTGCTTACTCACACCAATATCCATTCGGTAAATTAATTTCCGCTTGCAAAAATTAAACTATGTATTACTTTTAATGTCCATAGGCGGTTGGGCAGGTGAGCGTGTCTTAGTGCTTTTCGAACAGAGAGCGTCGCTGGCTTAAACATTTTCTCCGCCGGAATCACTTCCTGGCTGGGAATGCGTCTCAAACCGCTTAGGCCCCTAATACGATGCACTAGCCGTTGCTCGAAATTTCGCACTGATTGGCAGCACGAATTGCATAATTCTTTAAATGAAACAGAAGCAAATCAAAAAAACAATATTTGCGCGTTTTCACGCGCTCTTAAGTTCGCATTGGTAGCATGAGGGGGCCGGGACAGTGACATAACATTTCCGTATGGTTCAAGTTCAAATTTAATGGATACACATACACAAAAATCTGCATATGTATATATGTTAAGATTGTGAAAAAGTTAGCACTTAACCGAAGCTATGAATATTCTGAACGACTGTTGAATAAAAAACTGAAATCAGAAAATAAACTAAATCTGACCTCACTTAAAAAACAAGTATTGCTTATGAGAGAACATACAGTAATTCTTTAATTTTATTTCAAATCTGAGCGTGAAAATAAGTAGAAAACGAATGAAATGAATTCCTATACAATGACTTGGAATATCGAATTTTAGATCATTTGGGTCTGCGGTAGTATTAGTTTAAATATATTGGCCCGGGCCCGGCACGATGTAATAAAGTTTAATCATCTCCTGCACATAAGTTTAAATGTGAGCTCCAAGAATTATTGCCACTAGTAAGCTTTCAAAAAAGAAAACAATGTTTCTGTGTGGCAGTGCCATAGCGCTTGGGCAATAAATCTGATTAAGAATCAAATGCATGTATAGTACCTCTACATTTCCTACATAAGAAACAGTATAATTTAATTTTTTTTTTTTTTTAACTGTTTTTTAAGTATGGAATATTCTATAACTATGAATAACCGTATTTAGATTAATAACACAAAGTCTACGTATGCGTAATTTTTTAATTTCTTTTAAACAAGAGAGCAAATGAAAAAGTTAAGAAGAGAAAATCAAAATATCGCTCAAATTAGTAACTAAATAACTTTAATACTATCTCTATTACTTGTAAAAGTTTATACATATGTACATACAATATAACTTGCCCGATTATTAATGTAGGAGACTAATTCACATTTTCGCCGAGATATGGGCTTATCTAGATTCTTGTGCGACTTAAAACCTAT